CACTGGTCCACCTAGACATGTCATTGACCGTTTCACTGCTTGGTGACAATTTGCAGCCCTTCATAAACTTCATGTACCCCTGCTTATTCGATAATTCACCATGCCACCGGGACCAAGTTGTCCAGAATTGTTTTGAGCAGCATTCTGGAGAGTTCGGACAAATGGTGTGGCCTGCACATTTGCTCCAGTTGAACATTTATGGGATGTGGTGAAGAGTTCCATAACTTTTGGTTTGTCAGTGTAAATAATTATCAAATGAAGATTTTGAACTTATTAACCCATATGAAAAGCCAAAATTGAAACAAATTCCATATTAATTACCCATAAAGCTCTATAGACACATGGCAAATGAGACCAAATTTAAAGTAGATGCAAGTAGTATTATAGGGCCTACAGTGGTGTAACCAAACCTTTTTTTAAAGACTGTGCTCTATATTACAAATATATATATTTTAATGAAATCAAATGCATATTTGACTCTGAAGCTAAAATATACCATTGCCTACCATGTTAATCTATTTGATAAGTTAGTAAAATATAACAATTTTGAGAATCCCTCTGGAAACCTACTTGTTCTGTTCAGTTGACTGCTTATGTCCAGTGTTGTTGTTGTGATGGACATAGCAGTGCTCATATCTGAAAAGAGGGCATGAAATAACCATGCCAGCTTGATAATTGCTAGTAACACACCAAATAAGCACGATCTAAAGCTAATTAAACAATTTATCAAAACCAAGTAATAATGAAACAGTGGTTTTAAACCCATAACAACACATTTCCTTTGACCCATATAGAAAACAAAAATGGCAACAAACACTGTGTTAATTTAGAACCCCCCTGACAACTTACTTGTCATGTACAGATCAGAGCTAGTGGTCAGTTGAGTGCTACTGCCTGCTGTTGTTGTAGAGCGCGGCATTGTGGTGGTCACATCTGAAGAGATGGTATAAAACAAACTGTAAGCCTGATAATTGCTAGTAACAAAAAAATAAAAAAATAAAAATCACAGTGTAAAGCTTATAAATCAATTAGAGTACCTGCACAGTAAACTGCATCACAAAAAGATGTACTAAAAAACTCATAGACATAATAGTTTCCTGGACATGCTTTGACTTGACTGGAGTGGAGCTGTAGTAACAGCAGTCAGTTCCTGATCTCCCACGGACTCGGAGAACAACTATTCCATTTGACATCTGAGGGTGAGAACCGTTCAGCCACAGAGAGGTTGCAGTACCACATTTGGATAAAGCAACACAGCTTTCTGGCATACGGATGTTCATCCCTTTATAGAGCAGCAGGTACCAGCCGTTCCCATTGAAGGATCTGTCACAATTGGTCCCTCCAGTTGCATTAGTTCCTCTCCAGGGTTGATCCAGAGATGTTCCTCTCCAGGGTTGATCCAGAGATGTTACATACCACTATCCCATGACTAGTGGCTTGTCAATGTAGTATTGTACCATGGCGAATTTCTCCAAGAACCATGGTGGAGTCAGAAGTCTATCCCAGTCTTGGACCCCAGCATTGGGCAGGCTAGTGGTGATTCCATACTGGTGTGGGGTGTGTTCTCATGGTATGGGTTAGGTCCACTGGTCCACCTGGATACGTCATTGACCGTTTTACTGCTTGGTGACAATTTGCAGCCCTTCATAAACTTCATGTACCCTCGCAGTGATGGGATATTCTAGCAGGATAATTCACCATGCCACCGGGCCCAAGTTGTCCAGAATTGGTTTGAGGAGCATTCTGTAGTGTTCGGACAAATGTTGTGGCCTGCACATTTGCTCCAGTTGAACATTTATTGGATGTGGTGGAGAGTTCCATGACTTTTGGTTTGTCAATGTTAATAATTATCAAATGAAGATTTTAAACTTATTAACCCATATGAAAAGCCAAAATTGAAACAAATTCCATATTAATTACCCATAAAGCTCTATAGACACATGGCAAATGACACCAAATTTAAAACAGATGCAAGTAGTATTGTAGGGCATACAATAGTGTGACCAATCTTTATTTTTTAAAGATTGTGCTCTGTGTTATATATATTTGTTTTTAATGAAATCAAATGCATATTTGACACTGAAGCTTAAAATGTACCATTGCCTACCATGTTAATCTATTTGACAAATTATTCAAACATAACAATTTTGAGAATCCCTCTGGAAACCTATTAGTTCTGTTCAGTTGACTGCTATCGTCCAGTGTTGTGGTTGTTGTAGCGAACACTGGCTCAAACTTTACCCCCAATCTGAGTGTTTCTAACGTGTCAACAACCCAAAAGTTAAGGGCCTCTTGGTTCCAGCGAGTCTGGAGTTGAAAGTGTAAATCTGTCGACTTAACACTCCTAACCCTAAAATTTACGACTGAATCAAGAACCAGAACCCCTCTCCCTCGACCCAAAGGGCAACAGAACACCTCCCTGGAATATTGGCCACATGGCCCTCCAAAGTCCTGTGGACAACTTTATCTTTAAGTACCAGATAGAACATTTCTAAGGTATATGTCAACTCCAAACTGCAACCATTCATTAGAACTCTTTTTACCTAAACTAGACATACCAAGAACGGAACCAATACGACAATCTGGACTGCAAATTTCAACTTTCTAAATCCCCTAGGGATCTCAAGCATGGACCCACAGCACCCCCAAGGGGTGAAACCGCAAATTACCACATCACCACCGTAAGGACATGTGCTTACATGGAACCCGAGAAACTCCTTGCTTTGTCTGCTTGATTATCAATGTTTATATAATCTGTAAGCAATACTTCATGTTGTATTAATCTTGTTGTTGGGTAGTACCTTAATTTTACCTGTATCTTTTTCTGCTATTAAGTGCTAGAAATACGTAGTGTATAACTTTGATAACAGACAGACCCAACCATTTAATTGCTATGAGTTTAGACCTTTGACCAATATGTATCCTGAATGTGGTTTTCTTTTCTTTTCTTCCTTTGTTTCTTTTCTTTTATTGTCGATTTTATTTCTTCATGCATTGAGTCATATTCAGATATTATAGGCAAATATTACCTGTGTTCTTTAACATATGTTGTGTATCAGGTAACAAGGGTTAAACTCTCTCTTAGAAACATACCTGAATATCCTAGTTGTCCATTCCTTGATTTTGAAAGGTAAATCAACTTGATGATATAGGAATGTTTCTTTTTTTTGCTTAAACTAGCTGAAACAAAGGAGGCAGTGATTCTGGGGAAGGCATTCCTAAAATTATGCACAACTAATCAGAGTTTGAAACCATGAGTAGCTAGTTAACCTTAGGTGAGGAGAACCTATCAGCACTCTGGCTCCACCTCCAAAGGGTAGGGCCTCCAGCCGAGCAAAACCAGAGTGCACCGCAAATTTCAGTTGTTCAGTTCAGAGTCCTGTGTTCTCAACAAGAGGAGAACTAAATTTCTAAGTTTGTGCTGGCCTTGGTCAGAAAGACAGGTCAGAAGTATTAGAACGCTAAATTTTCAGATCTGAAACCTTTGTTTGTTTTGTAACTTGCCTGTTCGTCTACACACCTTAAGTTTGAACCACCCTCAGAGAGGGAAGGTGGATATTTCTTGTCTGGCCAGGCAGAATATATCCATAACTTTCGATTCTGCTAAAGAGAGGTATTTAGTTAAATTAGTATCACCAGCCTCAGAACCCTGATTGCAACCTGAACCTCGCCAGCGGTGTGGGAGCAGTTCTGACGCCACGGAGACCCAGCATCGCACCCAGAGCCACGCATTGATCTGTGAACAGATCGGCCATCGAGCTCCACAGTCAGACGGCCACGAGACGCCACCGCCCAATCACTGACGGAAAGGCGCATGCCCGCACGGAGATGCAGTATCCACGGCCAGCGAGGAGATCAACCACCGCGTGAGCTCCAGCTTTCGATCGAGTCCGTCCTGAGACGACCCCTCCTGAAGTCAGCCCCCGAACCCAACGTAAGCTGGTTCCATCAATTTGCAATCAGGGCCCTGACGCCAACTTATTTAATAGGAGAACTTTTAATAGGTACATCCAGCCATATAGTTATTCACATCCATACTTAGTTTAATTCCCTAGAGGCTCTCCCAAGCGACTTCCCAAACCACACTGCCTCATACCATTTAGCCGTGAATCACTCTAACTTATTTGTGCTATTTTGTCTTTTTGACTTTCATTACTATCACTTTGTTTTGTTTTGTTTTCTGGTTTTATTTTCTAATGTTTATCATTGAATGTAGTCCAAAAGTAGTTTGATATTTAGCCAATAAATTCCCTTTTCTGAAGCATTCTTGGAGCGTTTCTCTCTCTTGCCCTGGTCTGTAGACTTCAAATAAATCTGGGTTACCCCACACCCTCACATAAGGTTCTAGCAATAATAACATTAAAAATTGCAAAACCTGTTACATTGTTGTCATGGACATAGCAGTGCTCATATCTGAAAAGAGGGCATAAAATAACCATGCAAGCTTGATAATTGCTAGTAACACACCAAATAAGCGTAATCTAATGCTAATTAAACAATTGATCAAAACCAAGAAATAATGAAACAGTGGTTTTAAACCTATAACAACACATATCCTTTGACCCCATATAGAAAACCAAAATGGCAACAATGTATTAATTGAGAATCCCCCTGACAACTTACTTGTCATGTACAGATTAGAGCTCGTGGTCAGTTTAGTGCTACTGGCTGCTGTTGTTGTAGAGATTGGCATTATGGTAGTCACATCTGAAGAAATGGTATAAAACAAACTGTAAGCCTGATAATTGCTAGTAACAAAAAAAAAAAATCACAGTGTAAAGCTTATAAATCAATTAGAGTACCTGCACAGTAAGCTGCATCACAAAAAGGTGTACTAAAAAACTCATAGACATAATAGTTTCCTGGACATGCTTTGACTCGAACTGGAGTGGAGCTGTAGTAACAGCAGTCAGTTCCTGACCTCCCACAGACTCGGAGAACAACTATTCCATTTGACATCTGAGGGTGAGAACCGTTCAGCCACAGAGAGGTTGCAGTACCACATTTGGATAAAGCAACACAGCTCTCTGGCATACGGATGTTCATCCCTTTATACAGCAGCCGGTACCAGCCATCCCCGTTAAAGGATCTGTCACAATTGGTCCCTCCAGTTGCATTAGTGCCTCTCCAGGGTTGATCCAGAGATGTGTAGCTGTTGCAAGGATCATAGCTAGGAGTGTCCAAAGCAACTGTCATGAAAAGAGTTGAAGATATGCAGCAATGTCAATTACTTATCTTTAGTTATTTTTAGTTATGCCACTGATTCACATCATTTCTTACACATGATTTCTGTGCTGCACACAGTTTGAAATTCACGTGACAATCCTTCATTTGCTGTGGTAGCCAAAGATATGTTGATGTTCACGTTATATATCTTTACCCTTCTCTAGCCAATCAGTGTCATAGCTATTCAACACTGCTTACCACTGTAAACTTTCCCTATATCAGTCTTTTTGATTGTTCTACTGTAACGGATCTTTGCTTGCCTGCCCCTGACACCACTTCACCTCTGCCCTTAATTCCTACTGCTTGTTGTTATTGGCAGTCTGTTGTGTGAAGCTGTCTATCAGTCTATTCTGTTAGCTGGAAATGCTACCATCATCTGAGGCACACTGATACTTGCCTGTAGCATATGTGAATACAGATAATTCCACTGAACTAGTTCAATGTTAGAGTTGAAAACACATTGTGGACTTTTGACTGACTTGGATTTTAGAATAAAATCTATTTGCTTTAAGTGAAATGTGTTGATAGTGACTGTTTTGGTAGTGACCATTTTAGCTAATTTTAAGCAGAAGTCAAAAACGTTAGCCAGTAAATGACTAGCAATGAATTGCTTTAAACAGATGCACATACATAAAACCATAATATTTGTCACTAGAATGCATAATTGCAGAAAATATTTGTTTCAGTAGTGACAGTTCTTAATGTTCCACACCGATTTTCAGACTTTGGGACACATTTGCTTCAAAACAACAGGATCTAACTCCTCACCATCTGGCCATGAGGGACAGGGATGCAGTCTCACTTCCGGCTCTAAAATACAGGGTTGTGGCTAAAATAAGACTCTATCTTTTGATGGTGACATGAAAATTAGAAACACGAAAATTAAACTCATAATAAATCAACTTCCCTTCAAAAGAAATAAAAATAATCATTAAGAATGCGAAAAAGTAATTATTATTCTCACAAGTTGAAATAAAGGGTTAGGATTTGGGACAGCCACCTCCCAATAGAAAGCATATTGACTTTGTATGCATTTTAATTATTACAATCACTGTTAATGCCTTGGGTTTCACTAAATCATAATGAATTTGGTAGAATGGCCCATATTAGGCATATTAAGATAGTTTGACACCTTTTGCATTTTGGTTTTGACTTTGTTGTGACAGCTAGTATTCTACAATGCAGTGCAGTGTTGTAAAAGTGCACAAGAGACCAAAGTAGAATAGGCTTGTCTGGGTCACAGCTTGAAACTACTTTTGCCTGTTCTGTATAAATCCTGTAATGGACAAAGTACATGTAATCATGTAATCTATTGCTGTACATAATCTCCATTTTTTATAATATGTCAGTCACTGTACTTCTAACTCTGGATGTTTTTCACTATCTTTCTATGATGTGGGGAGAAGTGGGGTATGTATGTGACTTAAATCCAACAGAATGACAGAATTCTGTCCGAGAATATAGAGAAGGCACTGCACCAGGCCTGACTGGACTTAACAGAAGTAAACAATAGACGGGTAAGTAGTATAAACAGTAGACAGGTAAGCGCTTTTCATGATATAGACAATGCCTCTTCCATTGCTACCATTTCCCTCTCTCTCTCTGCTGTCTTAATACTAAAGCTTCTGCCAGCTGTGAAGGGAGAACTTGCTCCAATAACATTATTAGTGTCATCAAACTCTGTGTAATTAATAAATCAAAGGAAAATGTGCGCAGTCAAAACCCCAATAATTTAATTCACATACTCTTTAAAAAGACCAGTCCCCCCCAAACAGAAAGCAGAAAATTAAACCTCGCACTACTCAACGTAAGGTCACTTAATAACAAAACCCTGCTGATTAGAGAAGTTATTAAAGAGCATAAGCTAGATTTTATGTTTCTCTCAGAAACATGACTTAGTGATAATGGCACAACAACTCAACTTGAAGCTGCTCCTGAAAGGTACAGATTTATGCATACAGTAAAAAAGGGCAGACAAGGAGGAGAATTGGCCTGCATTTATAATAGTGACTTTAACTGCAAAAAATACCACTATTGGTGAATTCATGTCTTTTGAGTATGTTGCAATCATCCATCAGATAGTAGTGTATTATAAATTATTAGACTTCTAGAGACATTTGATTTGAAGCAGCACATGGGCAGCTTTACCCAGAAGCTTGGTCACATCTTGGATCTGGTGATCACTAAAGGTTTAATCACAAACGTGTCCCAAATCTCTGAAGTTTTCATATCAGATCATTTCTGTATTTTCTTTAAATCAATTTAGAAGTAAGGAGGAAAGTACCTGAAAAGTACTTGAAAAAGCGTTACATTGACTCAGAAACAGTTCAGAAGTTTAAAAGCTTTTATAATAGTTCTGTGAATACATATATGACTTCTTCCTGTATTGATCTGGTCTATGATCTAAGTGCTAGATTACGGGAAACCCTTGACATTCTCACTCCAGTCAAATGGAAGAAAAACTTGCATACTCATAAAAATCCATGGATAAATGCAGGAATACACCAGTGTGATAAAGCGTGTCCCTCGACCCAGCAGTATGCTGTGGCAGGAGACACACCTTATGGGTAGCGTCGGGCAAGAAGTCCAAGTAACTGGAATGAATACAGCTTGTTCAAGAGTTCTTCTCCCCGTCACCTTTATTTACACACCAACATTATTTACATATTTACACGCGCATACACAATAAACGAAAACAAAATGAAGACAAAACAAAAATGGTCTCTACAGCTATGAGACTGACTAATGCCTACAAAGTCATATAGGTCTTTCACTCGCATCACCTTCAATCTTCCACCAAGCTGAAAGAAGGGATTTCTGCACCCCCCAGTAATGCTGCTTATATATGGGGTGCTCCTCCTCTAGAATAAACCAATACTTCAGGTATTTAAATATATTTACATTCAACAGTAAATATATTTCATGCTCTTCACTTATTCTTCATAGTTACATTTACGATGTCATTAATATATATATATATATATATATATATATATATATATATATATATATATATATATATATATACATATATATTTACAATACAGTGTACACTTATTAAACCATTTCCTTTTCTTACAGGTTTTGTCCCTCCCTCCTCTTCTACAGAGGATGGACTCACCCAGGTAAGTAACACAGCTGAACCCATTAAGTTCCCTTTTACTCCACAAAGCAAAGATAATCAGTCCTCAGGTAAGTACAGGTAAGTATATACAACCAGTCTTTATGCTGTGATGTGTAAGGGGGTACCTTACATCATCACAACCAGCTTAAGATAAATTGTCATAAATCAGAGCATTTATGGAGGAAAACTAAACTAAACTGCAGGTACATTATGATTTACTCAAAGAGCAGATCTCAATCTATAATAATGCTGAAAATATCCAGACAGTCATACCTCTCTAGTGTAATTAATAGACATAAAGATAATACCAAAATCCTTTTTTCCACCATAGACCAACTAATTAACCCCAGCTTTTCTGCTAGTGCGTCTCATGGTGATTTGTCTTCTAAAATCTGTGAAGAGTTCACAATTCATTTTCAAAATAAAATAGACCTGATACGACAGGGTATAGCTCAGCCAGCTGAACAAGCTCCAATAATGTTCCTGATAAGCCACCTACATCAGTAATGACATCTTTCTCTGTTATCAATCATCAGGAGCTTACGACTGTTATAAACAAACTAAGTTCATCCACATGTGATCTTGACCCTGTTCCTACTTCATTCCTCAAGATGATTTTTGATTGGGTTCACAATGATGGTTTAACTATTGTAAATTGTTCTCTGTCAACAGGTGTTTTTCCAGATGCTTTTAAATCTGCCCTGGTGAAGCCTCTGTTAAAAAAAAAGAATAGCATGGATCCTTCCATTCTAAATAATTTTAGACCCATTTCAAACTTATCTTTTTTTTAAGTAGTCTTAGAAAAAGTTGTTTTCAAACAAATAAAAGCATATCTAATATCAAACAAGTTATATGAAAAGATTCATTCAGGTTTTCGTTCTAGCCATAGTACAGAGACAGCACTGATTTGCATTATGAATGAGCTCAGGCTCAGTGCTGTTGCACAAAATCCTTCTATTCTGGTTTTATTAGATCTTAGTGCAGCTTTTGACACAAGACTTTAATCCAGCAACTTGAATGCTGGGTCGGCCTCTCAGGCACAGTTTTAGAATGGTTCAAATCATATTTAGGTAAAAGACAATTCATGTTTTCACTTGGGAATCATTCATCAAAAAGACTTGGCATTTCTTGTGGAGTCCCTCAAGGTTCAGTTTTAGGGCCTTTGCTATTCTCTTTGTACATACTATCTCTAGGTGTTGTCATTGGGAAGCATAAGTTTTCATAGTTATGCTGAAGACACCCAGTTATACATCAAGACTCTGTAGACAGACTAACCAGCTGTGTATCAGATGTCTGTGTTCTCAGTGGATGTCACAAAATGTTCTACAATTAAATCATGAAAAAAAACTGAAATATTGATCAGAAACTAAGAGAAAAATGCTTTAGGAGAAACTTGGCTCTTTAGCTTCATATACCAAACCTGAAGTATGAAACCTGGGTGTGATCTTAGACCCTGAGCACTGTTTTATCCTGCATATAAATGCAGTCACTAAAGTAGCATTCTGTCATTTGAGAAATATCACTGAAGTTCGGTTATTACTATTTTAGAGTGACACAGAGAAATTAGTTCATGCATTTGTTACAAGCAAACTTGATTACTGTAATGCTCTTCTTACAGGACTTCCTAAGAAAACAATATCCTATATAAAAATATAAAAATCCTTTGCAACTTGTACAAAATGCAGTTCTGCTACTAGTTTTTAAGGCTCTAAATGACCTAGCACCTGCATACATCACAGAGTGTCTGTCTGTTTATGCTCCAACATGTGATCTTAGATCTGCAGATACTGGCCTTCTGCAAATACCTTAAGTAAAATACAGAAAACATGGAGAGACTCGTTCAGTTATTGTGCTTCTAAACTGTTTAACTCAATTCCACCGTTTAACAGACAGCCAAGCTCAGTTCACACTTGTAAGAAGCATCTAAAAATGTATCTCTTTAACTTAGTGTTTAATTAAGCTCTATGTCTCATCCTATTTATCTTTTTAATGTAATCTGTCACTTTCTTATGATGGTGGTTTTTGATAGTAAATAAAATGGCTATATTTGTGTTGTACATATTGTGATCCCTGACTTCTATCACCACCACTGTAAAGAAACCAAATATGAGGTGAGCAACTTGTTTAACATCTGACAAACATTTTTGCAGCAAACAAAATGAAGCTTTAGATAATAACTGGAAATGCAACTACATAATTGACAGATTTTACCTGTGCAGTATGTAGGCCTTGGAAATAACACAGCTGGCTGGACGAGTCTATAGACATAGAACTGTCCTGGGCAGGCTTTGACTTGGATTGAGTTTGATCTGTAGGAATTACATTGCCTGCCATCAGTCACATAGCCATACGATCCATAGATTTCTCGGGTGACAATGCCATCCTGTGTTTGTGGGTGAGATCCTCCAAGGAAAAGTGGTGTGTAACCACCACATACAATGTAATTCGCACACCAATCAGGTTCAGGAATCTGAGCATTTTTTCCCTGAAGATATAGCCGATACCAGCCATTCCATTTTGCAACTGTGTCATCATGACCACGGTATATTGTGTAGACTAGACCATCCATTATCCTCCATTCATCGTCAAGAACATTGTAGACACTGCAAGGGTCAAACACAGCATAGTCTGCTGTGGAGACAAAGTTATTAGACAAATTATTTGCTATGAGTAAAGCTTATTGCTGTAATCTTGTATACACTATATGGACAAAAGTATGCGGACACCTAATTACTAGTTCCAGGTTTTTCAGGCACATTCATTGTGAACAGGTGTATAAAATAAAGCAGGCAGCCATGCATTCTCCATAGACAAACATTGGCAGCAGAATGGGTCATACTGAAGAGCATAGTGACCTGGGCCTGCCAGTGGGCTCAAAGTCCCCTGCAGCAGAAACTGGCTCTTGGTATGTGGAATGTAACCTCACTGGGCGGGGGCGGGGGCGGGGGGGGGTGGTCAGAGCTTGTGCAGGAGGTTGAGAGATATTAGATATAGTTGGGCTCACCTCCACCCACAGTGTTGGCTCCGAAACAAAGCTCCTTGATAGGGGTTGGTCCCTTTCCCACTCAGGAGTTGCACAGGGTGACAGGTGCCGGGCAGGTGTGGGAATACTCACAAGTCCCCAACTGGCTGCTGTGCAGTTGGAATTCGTCCTGGTGGACAAGAGCATTGCCTCAATGTGAATTAAAACCGCAGGGAGGAAAACTCTGACTGTTGTGTGTACTTATGCACCAAACAACAGTTAGGAGTATTTGGCCTTCTTGGAGTGAGTGGGTGGGGTACTGGAAAGGGCCCAACCTACAGACTCCATAGTCTTGCTGGGAGACTTTAATGCTCATGTTGGCAATGACTGGGAGACCTGGAGAGAGGTGATTGGGAAGAATGGCCTGCCCAAGTATAACTCAAATGGTGAATTGTTATTGGACGTCTATGCTAGGCATGGATTCTCCATAACAAATACCAAGTTTGAACACAAGGATGTTTATAAGTGTTCATGATACCAGAGCTCCTTGTGTCAAAGGTCAACAATTGACTTTTCATCTGACTTAGGACCATATGTTCTGGACACTTGGGTGAAGAGAGGTGCTGAGCTTTCATTTCACCAACTCACCATCGATTGAAAGCTCAGATGGCGGGGAAGACTGATGGTCAGACCCAGTAGGCCCAAGCAAATAGTGAGGGTGTGCTGGGAACAATTGTAAGAGGCCCCTATTCAGAATAATTTTAACTCCCACCCACGGGAGAGCTTTTGTCATGTTCTGGAGGAGGTAGAGGAAATGGAGTCTGAATGGACCCTGTTCAAAACCTCTATTGTGGAAGCTGACAGACATAGCTGTGACCAAAAGCTTGTTGGTGTCTGTCAGAGCAATAACCCAAGAACCCTCTGGTGGACTCCACTGGTGAGGGAGGCTGTCAAGCTCAAGAAAGAGGCCTTTAGGGACTGGATGGCCCGGGGGACTCCCAACTCAGCAGATGGGTAGCGACAGGCAAAAAAGGCAGCAGTGGCAACGGTGGTGGAAGCAAAATCCAGGGCATAGGAGGAGTTTGGCGAGGCCAGGGAAAAAGATTTTTTTTAGGCTTCAAGGAGGTTCTGGACAACTATCCAGCAACTCAGGAATGATCGGGGTGGCTTTGCCTGAGATATATTCGGCAGGGGTGGAGAAACTCAGTCAGGGCCAGAGGCTTCTGGCGTGTCAGGTTTCATTTCCCTGGTGGAGGTCACTGTGGTAGTTGGCAAGCTCCTCAGTGGCAAAGCACCAGGAGTGGATGAGATTCGCCTGGAAAGGCTCTGGATGTCGTGGCTGACACCCCTCTGCAATATTTCATAGACCTTGGGAACAGTACCCTTGGACTGGCATACTAGGATGGTGGAGACTGGAGGGTGTGTGGCAACTACCACGATATCACACTGCTCAGCCTTCCTGGGAAAGTTTATGCCAAGGTGCTGGAAAGGTGACTCCGACTGATAGACGAACCTTAGATTGAGGAGGAACAATGCGGATTCCATCCAGGCTGTGGAACTATGGACCAGCTTTTCACCCTTTTCGACATTACACATGTTCTTCCACACATATCATGCAATCATACATTTCCACCAGAATAGTCTCTATGTCCCAAACCTTATATATTTCAGTTTCAGTACTTCAAATAATATCCTGATATCCTATGTGACAAAGACGTTTAACTGTCCTCTAACCGCTGAGTTGTATTTTTCATTAGCCTGACACTAATAGTGGTTCATCTGTTAAAAATGGCTTTGAAAACAAGTAATATACAGTATATTTATTTGGAAAATGAGAATATATATTCAGAATCCAAAAAATTAACAGATCTTTTTGACACCTACTAGATACTGAAGTAACGGTTGCAGTTGTTGGGGCGATGTTTGGAGTGATGGTATTCACATCTGGAAAAAAACTGACATATTAAAACAAATAAAGGCCATATAAGCAACACTAACACCATTATCAGCACTCTTAGCTAATGCTTGTAAAATCAACACATCAAAATACCTGCACAGTATGCTGCAGAGCAGGTAGTCTTGACAAACTCATAGACATAATAATTTCCTGGGCATGCTTTGACTCTAATTGGGGTGGAAACAGAGGCGCAGCAGTCAGTTCCTGACCTCCCACAGACCCTGCGAGTAACTATTCCATCCACTATCTGAGGGTGAGGATCATTCAGCCACAGAGTGATATCAGTACCACATCTGTACTCATTAACACAGCTCTGTGGCATACGGATGTTCATCCCATAATACAGCATCCGGTACCAGCCAGTCCAGTTGAATGGGCGGTCACAAATGTCCAGTTGGATGGTTGTATTCGTGGCTCTCCAAGGATTGTCTAGAGCAGTGTAGTTGTTGCAGGGGTCATCAAAAGTAGCTGTTGTTGAAAATAATTTAAAAATGCATCAGTAGGGAAATGTTTCCAGTAACATCCAAACCAATAAAAGGTTTCCAGGCAATATTTTTACTAATTTAGAGGAATTGTAAACTGTTGTCTGGTTGAAAAAGGATTCTGTCTGTAATATCACACTGGGTACTGGCTCTGCTAAGACACTGTTAAAGTGTAAAACAAAGTAAAGTGCATCACTGTGTGGTACAACAGGCGTGCACACTCTATAATCAGACAGTGCCATGTCAAAACCCTACTGAAATATCTGAAATAATTACTATATGACCACCATTAACAACAGCAGCATTAGCAGTGGCTGTGGACATACTGTGAAATGCACCAGATCTTCATGTTGCACTTTTCATGCTGGTGGCAGCTCAAAGTATTTTAAAAACAGGGATAAAGCTAAACAGTGTAAGAAGAAATTAAAAGAAAAAAATTATGAAAAATAGTAGAAAAAGTAGTAAAAAAGGATACAGATCAAATTAAAAAGATAAATACCAAGAGATAAAGAGTTTTATTTATTAGAATTGAATGTTATTTTTTTTTTTATTTCTTAGAATTAAATGCTAATCTGGTTCTTTAGTATATAAATGGTTCAAATTAATAAGATTAATCACTGTGTAAAAGGCATAAAAGAGTAGATGTTGATTAACTTTCTCCTACTCAACTCAGACAAAACAGAGATTCTTCTTCTTGGTCCAAAGCTACTACAAACCAACTGTCTAATTTAAAACTTAAACTTAATAAGTTTCTCAGTTGAATTAGGTGCATCTGTAAAAACCTTGGTATCACGATTCTATAAGATCTGTCCTTCGATGCAGATTAAACAAATATTACTAGAATAGCTTTCCTCCATCTACGCTATACTGCAAAATTAAGAAATGCACTGTATCTACAGGATGCAGAAAACCTAGTTCAAGCATTTATTACCTTAAGCCTGGATTACTGTAATGCCCTGTTGTCTGGATGTTCCAGCAAAAGCTTCAAAAGCTTCAACCAGCTTAATTCAGAATGTGGTATCCATAGTCCTTTCAAGAACTTGAAAGTTTGACCATATCAGTACAGTTTTATCAAACCTACACTGGTTGCCAGTGAAATTCTGCATTGAGTACAAAATGATTTTACTGGCACATGAAGCTCTAAATGGCCCCTTAGTACCTGAGTGATCTCTTATTATGAACCATTACGCCTACCTAGATCACAAGGTGCTGGCTTAATATTGACACCTAGAATTAATAAAGTTAATCAGGGGGGAGAGCCTTCTCCTACAATGTCCCAAAACTTTGGAATAATCTTCCAGTTAGTGTTGGGGACTCAGACACAGCCTCAGTCTTTAATCTAAGTTAAAAATGTACTTGTTTTGTTGAGCCCTTAGTAATTAGTTTTATTCTGTTAGATAAAAGTGCTGTTACCTTTCTGGCTCTCCCTCTTAGTGAGGCTGTAATAGCTCGACCTGCCAGAGTCTCTGCTGTTCTCTGTTAAGCCTGTAAACTGTAATCAGTTGGTATTAACAGAACTAACTGCCTGTGTGTTTCTTTGCCAAACTGAACGACTGCCCATCCTGTGTGATCTGATATCGTTGCTTTATCTGCCTTGAGCGGGTGCCCACTGCTCACCAGCCTTCTGAACTAGTTTGACCACCATGGAGCTTGCTCCTGTACAACAGTGTGCAAACCTCACCTGCATGAACTGACCCTCCTGTTGATACTGCTGCTGCACAGCCTATGTATTCATAGCCCTTGCTTCACCTGATTTTTTCCCTTTTCCATATCTTATACTAATGGTAAAACCCTATTCTTTGTTCATGTTGCTTGTGTTATTGTTTGCAATCTGATGTTGACCTGAGGAAGATGAGTTCTCCTTTTAAGTCTTGGTACCTCTCAAGGTTTCTTTCTTTTGCTCTTAGGGAGTTTTTCCTTGCCATCATCACCTTTGGCTCACAGGGGCTTGGACACAGATTTTTTTTGTAAAGCTGCTTTATGGCAATGCCTGTTGTAAAAAGTGTTTTATAAATAAACTTTGATATGACTTGACATACCGCGACCCAGAAGGATAAGCGGTTTAGATGATGGATGGATGGATGGATGGATGACTTGACATCTATATAGAACCATTAACACTCAAAGAACCCTTTGTATGATTAAAAGGTTCTTCACATCATGAAACTGTTTGTCAGATTGCAGATTACAGAATGCTATAGATGGTTCTATATATAGAACCTTTTTGAACCAAAAAGGTTCTGCTACTTTTACAATATCAACCTGTAACAATAGAAGAACCCATTTCCCAAAGAACATTTTAATCATGCAAACACTTGTGTTCATGGTTCTACATAGACCCATTTTCTTTACTAAAGAATTTTCTTTAACCATCTTTTTAAGTGTGTACAAATGCAGATAATTGACCTATACACCTGATCTCCTGTCAGTTTGTGCAATCAAGAATGATCAGCTCTATTTTAATTCACTTTCTCTTTAAATCTATTTACTCTGTATTAAATTCAATAAAGGCTTTATTGACATAAACACCTAAATTGAACTTTTAAGAAACATGTATCATTTTAGCCAAACCTCCTTAGTAGACTGCAGGTTTTACTTACAATTGTTTTGAGTGTTAGTCTGTGTGATTGTAGTTATTAGAACCACAGTGACCCCTGGTGGAAAGATAAAGAATTATTGAATGTAGCTGTGGAGAAAACATTCAGAATTCAAGATTCAAGCAAAACATTAAGAGCCCCAGAGGGGACAGGGTTAAAAATAAAAATTATTATGAGGAAGCTAGTAGGCTAATAACTCACTGAAACTCTCTGATGTGTTCTGATGTGCTTAGATTGAAGTGATAATGGACAGAGATGTGCTCTATAGGTTTGATTTTGGGTGTATGTGTTATGAGGACACTATAGCTTCCCTTCACAGCGGGGCATCATAATGAGCAAACGACTCATAGATTCACTGATGCAGCTGCAGTTTGGTGAAATGAAGGAAGACAATCAACTATAACCACAACCTTCACTAAACTGTATTTTCTAATTATGATATTTAACAGAGATGAAGCCAAAATGCAGCCAGTCAGTACTGTTTTATTCACGTATAAAGCTGCAATGTTGGGGGCCGTCACGAAATGTGAAGCATCACTGTTTCAACAAATTAAATACACACAAAATGTCTATCTATCTTGCAAAGCAACAGCCTAGAAATGCATCTGTGGAAACATATGCAGCTAGAAACATTTTTAAAAGAAATTTAAAATAAAACAGAAAACTTAAAAGTTTATGGTAAAATAAAATTAAGTTGCTGAGTGAATTAGCAGTGAGCAACTACAGTAATCAATGAAGCACAATTAACTGAATGCAACAAGGTGACTGACTAGTCCCACACAAGGAATGAACTGGCATTCCTCATTGGAAACACTGTGATTTAAGGGGATAAGCCATGAGGCACAGAGGCCGTGTGGAGTAGTAGAGGCTTGAGAGCATGGGGAAAAAATAGAGAAATAAAGTTGCTCCTAGCAGGGATGCGGGAGGAGCTAAATAGTGTGCTACTTTTTGTAACTAAATACAAATTTCTGTAGCTAATAGCTGTAGCCGCTACAGTCTTATGAAATGTAGCCAATAGCTGTAGCGCGTACAAATTTTTGTGTAACTATAGCTATAATGTTTGCTACAATTTCGCAGCAGGCTTCAGGCAATCCACACAAAATTTGAACATAGAACATGGTCGTTAACTGGGCTAGTGGCGATTGTGCAATCCTGACTGAGCCGCGGACAGTTCGAGCAAATGGTCACACACTGATCATCCCTTACTAGTTGGCTTAGCTCAGGGGTCGGCAACTGAAATGTTAAGAAGAGCCATTTTGCGCTTTCAACAAAAATGAAACCACCTTTGGAGCCATTACCATGTTATATTTACCATCATGCCTGTAAATACGTCTCAGTATGTGCTGATGTGCTACAACACCGAAAATATTATAAAAACACAGACTTATTTTGCTCTGCTTTAAGCTTTAGGTCAGTTGTAGCCACTTTTCTTGCACCTCAGTTAGGAAACTTTTACGCAGAAGTAGTTTGCTGTAAAATGTTTCTCAACATTTGACTTTTTACGAGGCTAAAGTCAGCTTCTCATTCACCAGCTTCTTGTTAGAATTGTCCCATTCCACCATAAATGGTGCCTGAGGCACCAGAATGTACTGCTGCGCCATTTAAGCTGGAACGGGAATATTTGAATGAGAAGCTGGCGCAAGAGAAGCTGACTTCATGACTTAGTGTTTGACAGTTTCTTGTTGCAGATTAATATTAGTATCAGGAAACCAGCTGGAGTGATTATAAATGGAAATAAGTCCATTCATCTCCAAATTATCGATGTTCTTTCTCTTCACCATTTCCTTAGCTACGAGCTAGGTGAGGTTGTCTGCGTCACTGTGTGACCAGTAGTCTGCACATCCATCTTCAGTGGTAAAGTTGGGTGAATTAGGAGTTACAGGAGATACATTGACCCCAGTGTTTAAGACCATTTATTGTGAAAACTGTGTTAGAACTGTGTGTTATAATGATCAGCAAAGCTTTATTTTACAGCAAAGGAAGATTGTTATTTTACCTAAAAATCTAATTCTGCTGTGGAGCTGCAAAAGGGCAGTAAAAGAGTTGTGTGTTGCTGACCCCTGGCTTAGCTAAAGTGGAAAAAACATTTTCATAATGGACTATTACTAATAGTACTGCACAGAGCCAGGGACAGAATTTTGAGGCTTAAGTGTTGCTGAAGTTTAACAAAGGACTCTGAATGTCATGTCTGCACATATCTTGCTGAAATGCTTAAATTGGAGCAGTTTTATTTGCACAAAATTGTTTGGTTTGTATTTGGTTATTTTTGTTGATTTTTATTAGGAAAAACCTGGAATATCAGATATTACCATGTTAAACATGAGGCATGTGCACACAGCAAAATGAACTCAGGACTGAGCAGGGTGTCATGTGTGAGCTGTCCTTAAATCAACCGAGCACAGATGATCATTGTCAGCCCTGGCACCAGCAGATGGGCTGTGGGGACTTCAACCTCTGGCTCCTGCTTGGGGGGCATGGATGGAGAATACCAAAACTGGCACTCAAAGGGAGACATCCCCAGTGAAGTGTGCCATAGGATGTTATGGCCAAAACAGGTGCTCAGACCATGTACATGATCTAGAGGAGACTAGACACCTGATTGTCCGCTCTAGGTCCTGATTATTCCTATCAGTCTGCCCATTAGACTGGGAGTAGAAACCCAAGGAAAGAATCACCAAAGCCCCTGGCATTTGGCAAAAAGCCTACCAGAACTGACTAGTGAACTGAGATCTGCGTTCAGACACCATGTTGGTTGGAAATCCATGGAACCTCACCACGAGCTGTGATAGTAGTGAGGCTGCCTCCTTTGCCAATGGTCTTCCAGTTTGCAGGCCTTGGAAAACTGGTCTATCACAACCATAATCACTGTGTTGCCCTTGGATGATGTAATCCAGGAAGGGATGAAATCCAGGGAGATGTGGAAGCAGGGTCAAGATTGTATGGGAAGGGATGGAGCAAGCTTGCCAGTCAAATTCTAGCCTCCTTGTTCTGAGGGATACCTGGCAGGCTGCTACAGAGGCAGAGGCCACCAGAAGTGTCTCCGTAAGAACTCAAGTATGCAAGTTGCCTCCGGATGGCACATAAAAGGGGATGTGTACCCCAACTTTAGCTCAGACAGAGGAAAGAATGTACTGCCGACCTGAGGTCCCAGGAATAATTGGCTCTAGAGACTGATCAGTGGGTGGCACAACCTACTGTCTGGAGAACACATCAGGCTTGAGATTTTTTGAGACCGGCCGATACAATAGCAGGCTAAACATATTGCACACCTGGCCTGGCATGGATTTAGATGCTTGGCCTGTTAAATGTAGGCCAAGTTCTTGTGATCCATCCAGACCAGGATAGGATATTCCACACCCTCCAGCCTCCACTCATTCTGCACCAGTTGCATCACCAGGAGCTCACATTATAATTATGCTCTGCAGGGGTGAGGCGGTAAGAAAAGTATGTACAGGGATGGAGTTTGTGGTCAGTCTCAGAGTGCTGGGACAAGACTTCCCCTTCGCCAACATTGGACGCATCAAGCTTTACTATGAATGGTACAGCAGAGTCAGGGATCTGCAGAACTGGCACAGAAGTCAGGCCACGCTTCAAGTCTTCAAAAGCCTTCTGGGCTTCCGGGGTGCACTGGAGCCACCTTTGGGTAGAGCACAAGGAAGTGGGGCATGGCCATTCCACAACAGCCTTGATCTTGGCTGGGTCCATGCTCAACCAGCCTTTAGATAGCACAAAGCCCAAAAAAGTGACCGATTGAACATGTAAGAGGGATTTTTCCAGCTTCACATAGAGATGATTCTCAAGCAGAAGCTGAAGAAACCACCAGACATGAAGCACATGTTTGTCTACTGAATGGCCATAATGAGAATGTTGTCAAGGTGGATGAACACGTAGTGGTTCAGAGCATCATGCGGGACCTCAATAAACATTAGGAGACTGTGGGGCATTCATGAGCCCAAACAGCATTACAGTGTACTCGTAATGCCCAATAATGTTATAATGTGGTCTTCCATTCATCCTCAGGGCACACTGCGCAGGTCCAGCTTAATAAAAACTAAGGCCTGCTGCAGTGCCTTGAATGCTGAGGTCATTAACGGCAAGGGGCAGTGGTCTTTGACTGTAATTTTATTGAGGCCCAGTAATCAGTGCAGGGTCTAAGACTGCCATTCTTCTTATCAACAAAGAAAAACCCAACCCCAGCAGGTGAGGTGCATGGCTGGATAAGGCCCAGGGCCAATGCCTCCTTGATATACTCTTCCATGGCTGTTCGTTTGGGGCCCGAAAGAGAGAAAACAGCCACACTTGGAGAGGGGTAGTGCCAGGGAAGAGGTATATGGCATAGTTGTAAGACCGATGAGGAGGCAAGACTTGGGCTGGAATCATGATCTAATTGGAGGTTGTGGTGGGTCCTTCTTCCACCAACTCAGGGGATTGGGCCCTAAGTGACCAGTTTGCCTGCACCTGCCTTCTCACATGCAGGAATCCCACCCTTGGTGGGAAAGACATGTATGCCCCAAAGGCATGGGCTGCTTGGCTGGTTTGGAGAAAGCAGGGGCTGATTGAGGCCCAGGGGTCCTTGGAATTGGGATACTGTACAAAGGGGGCATGGGACCCCAGCCTCTGCAGTGCTCTCGTAGTCAGTTATCCAGCTTCAAGGCCTGCTCTATCAATTTCAAATGGGTGCCTTTTAAGTGGCCAGCTTATATTTCACCTCACCACTGAGTCCCTGCTGGAAAGGCAGCCATTAGTGCCTTCGCATTTCAACGATTTCAAAGAGAGAAATAAGGTTGCACCTAGCGAGGCTCAAAGGAGCAACCTCGAGATGCAGAGGCAAGTACTTTACCATGAAGGAGAACGTCAAACAAAAGAAATGCCAGAGCAGTGACTTCAAAGAAAAGTGACTTCGGAAATCTGCAGGGGAGGAAGCCAATACAAAGGACAAATGAGGCTTTTTTATACTGACGCTCACAGTTTGACTCAGGAGGACCAAAGGCCCAGGACCCTTAGCTCAAGAGAACAATACCAGAGATTACCAGCTTTGCCAAGAGACACATGCACATGGCAACATAAACTCAGGACTAAGCAGTGAGTTGCATGTGAGCTCTCCTTAAATAAAGTTAGCACAGCTGATCATTGTCAGCCCTAATCAGCCAAGTTCTACTCTTTGTCTCCCTCTGGTGGCCAGGGGCAACCTAGCAGGAGACCCAAGACGTTACAGCAAAATAATTTTCAAAAACATTTTCTTTTACAGTCCATTAAGTTATAGTTATTAACAAGGCAATCAAGGCTATTCTACCAAAAATACCAAAAAAATCATATATGTTTAATAAATAAAAGCTTCAATTTGACTAAACTTATCATAAATAAAAGTACAGTTTTCGATGGGCTCTTAAAGCATAATACACAAAACCTATAACAAAACCAATCATAAATTGACAAATCTGAGTGGTAACTTTAGCTACTATAAGAATGCACAGGCCCATTCTGATTGGTCACTTGCACAAAGCATACCCACAGTTAATCAAAACAATGTAAAAATAAAATAAAATAAAATAAAAAATAAAATAAAAAGGGGGAAAGAAATATTCTGGAAGGTGAAATCATTGCACTTTAGTTTACCCTTGTCCAGCATAACTAAATATATAAATTTATTGGGCAAAAAACACAATTTTTTTCAGTAATAGGACCTTCCAGGACTGCAGCCTGACCACTGACTAAATGCTTTTAAAGCTGCACTAATGTAGCTGTATTGAGGATCATAGCATTCAGTAAATGCATAGCCTAAACTAACTAAAAACAGTAGTATCTTCTAGAAATAGATTACATTTAGGACCTAGTTTTGATCTCTCCAACTGAGCTCTTTTTTGATTATGACCAAATTGATGAGGACAAGATCAAACACACACTAGGTCAAAAAGTAAAATCAACAGCAGCAAGACATTAGACTGATTTCCCCAGATAACATTAAAACCACTATTAAAATGGCCTAAAAGAGTAAACAGATAAACGCTGAATACATTGTAATTATTGGAATAACTCTTAAGCTATGATCAATTAACAGTTTTAAAAGCAAAAGGAACCTTTACAGCTAAATATATAAACGGATTCTTCCCCACATATTTAAAACGTTTATTTACAATTTCACTATGCTCTATTATAAGAAAAAATACTCACATGCCAAAGAACCTATATTATTTTTGTTCATTTTTATTAATCTTCTGGGGAGATGTTCTTGTCTGCCAACCACATTGTAATGTGCCTTCTGATTTTCACAAGACGTGAAATGTTTTTTTCTTAAGTGTCATTAGTTCACATTTCTTTCCATAAACAAATTATGTGGTTTTTAAAATGTGTTCATTTCCTGTTGTGTCCTGTTGAAACAAAGGACTGTGTTCTGTTTGCCTTGGGCCTTTTGCATGTAACACATAGATGATAAATGTGATGTCTGTGAGTGATATGAAAATAGCTGCCATAAAATAATTTCAATAAATGAATTTGCATGTTTTATGAACATACTCAGCTAACTGCAGGGAAGGAGAAAAAAGGTCACATTTGACTGATATCAGTATATCATACAAATATAACCTGTAACAGCTTTGTTATAGGCTAAATGTCTTATTCATTTTTTATGTTTTGGCAGATCATCTTGCTTGTTTCAAGCATATTTTTTTTAAACAAACCAAATCATCTGCCAATATAGTGAGACCATTTCACTTAATGAAATTATGTGAAAGAAATAAAACATCTAGAAATGTGTCAAATAATCTTTCAGTACTCTTACACCTTGAATCATTTTTTAAAATTTCATTTTTAAAGTGTGTTAACTGATTTGTGAGTATAATGTCCTGATTTAATTTGATTTGTTGCTGACAGCAAATGAAAGCTGATATATAAACGATGTATTTATATATAAATATAAAAGACTGGGCCAATAGGAAAGAATTAAGAAATGGAAAAAGGCTATAGGGGATTGCTGAAATGTTATTTTTTAGCATTATTATTTTTCCTGCAAACTATAGCTAATGATGCAATGGGGAATATAGCAGTAATGCTAGTTCTGTTTGTTTGTGAATAAGGGGTGGGTGTTTGCATCTCTACGAAGAGAAAGGAAATTTGTACCCAGCTACTTTGTTAATCTATACCTGTGTTTGGTGACTGGCCTTGTTTTCAATATGTAAAACTGCAAAAGATCAGTAGATTAGATTATTACACTACCTCCCTGTTATATTCAGATTAGATTAGTCACATTCTACGTGACTCTCAGGCTCGTCTGCACATACCTCAGGCACCAACCCCAGGAAAGCGTGTGGATTTTAATCCGCTAATATGGTGAGTGTTCCCACAAAGGGAATGGTTTCGAAGTCAGTACTCCTCCCAGTTACCTTTCACTGCCGTCATATTTCTCTTGTTATTACAGTGTTGATTGACTCGGGAGCCAAACGGAACTTCCTCTGTTCTGACGTGGTGGCCCAATTTCAGATTCTGGTCCCGGATCTCCAGATCCCTCTCAAGGTCACCTCTCTGAATGGAGCACCAGTTGGATTGGATCCTGTTTCCTTTGTCACTGAACCTGTTCAACTAGAGACTAGCGTTCTACACAAGGAACTCCTGCCCTTTCTCGTTACTGACTCCTCCGAATTCACTGTGAATTCACTAATTCACAAATTCACTGCCTCTTCTTCCCACCACCCCACCTATCATTGAGTGAAAATGCTGCACTAGCTCAGAGACCCTCCCTAATACCACGTCACTCGATATGGAAGGAAAATGTGATACAATTCTCGTTCAGGTTGACTTTAAGACAATATTATAACACATTCTACAGTCACATTCTACATGACTGGCCTCAGGCGCCAAACCCAGGAAAGCGTGTGGATTTTAATCTGCTAATAGGGTGAGTGTTCCCACAAAGGGAATGGTTTCGAAGTCAGTATTAAGACAATATTAATATTAATATTAATATCCATTGTTGAGATGCCCCCAGACGAGGCATTAAACTGTAGTGGTGCACTAGAAACCTCACTTCAAACCAACTGAGGAACATCTGTCTGTTTGTTTAGGTGGAAGCTGGTTGTTTGGCTTTTTTGTCTCTGAATGGGACAGGCATGTTTCTTGTTTTCAAATGAAATATTCTGTAGCATTATATGTTTTGCAGAAAACTACCTTGGTTGCACATGGATCAGCTTTTCAGTGTCAGACAGAGACAATAAATTTTCTGACTTTTGAAGTGTTTTTTAAATGTAAAATGCTGCTTTAGTGAAACTTGTAATGTAACTTGTAATGAAATTCGAAATTTCAGATCAACGTCTATAAGAAGCTTCAGTTGTCTGACCTGTTTTCTGCGTGAAAGACAGTAAAACTAAATGAGATTGAGATTTGTCTGCCTTTGCACTCACTACCTGTAGCTAAGACTTGTATTATTGAACTGTATATATATATATATATATATATATATATATATATATATATATATTCACTTTTGTGAGATACTGTGTATATATATATTTATACGCAGTAAATATATATATATATATATATATATATATATATATATATATATATATATATATATATGTATACACAGTATCTCACAAAAGTGAATACACCCCTCACATTTCTGCAAATATTTTATTATATTTTTTCATGGGACAACACTATAGAAATGAAACTTGGATATAACTTAAAGTAGTCAGTGTAAAGCTTGTATAGCAGTATAGATTTACTGTCCCCTGAAAATAACTCAACACACAGCCATTAATGTCTAAATAGATGGCAACATATATATATATATATATATATATATATATATATATATATATATATATATACACATATATACATATATACAGCTAGCTTATTGTGTAAGAATGATATCATATGCTGTGTTTATATAATGGTACCAAGCAGGAGCATTTAAATAGTACCTTGCAGGACTCCACATAAAATGTTGATTTTGTGTGATTAATCAGACAATAAAAAGGTTCTATGTTTTAAAAATAATAAATCAGTTAAGAAATAACTCCATAACAAAGGCCAATTAAATGTTTCCATCTGTTAATTAGTTCACAAACTCAATACCACACCAGGCTCTAATGAACAATTCACAATGTTCAATATGTCATCTGATGTACAGTGAAATACACTTAAAGAAGCAAGAAATTGGCAATCAGTTTCTATTACATGTCAGGTTATGATGTATAAATGATTAAATGTAAGAGATCTTGAGCATAGCTTTGTTTAATATTTATAGGTTCACAAATCAAACAAACTTTATTACTGTAGCATTATTATATCTTATATCTAAATATGTTATATATCCTATATCTAAAACAAACATAAATATTTGCATGAAAGTATAATTTTATCTTCTGTTTTTAAAGACAATAAATGAGTAATGAGGGCCTTTTTGGAGCAATGCAATTTCAGAAGTTTTCCAGATGTTGTTTTTCCATGGCGTCGCTCTAAAGAACTCTTTTGGGCACGTTTAGGTTTAAGTGCAGACTGATGTAAATCTGCCAAGTGGTACATATTGACTGTTATATAAATCAGAGTAATTCAAATTTACAACAGATCACTATTTGTGAATAAACCTGTGAAAACCCACACAACAGCAGAGGAATTTGAAATTGATTTCCACATATAAGAAGAAACGTACTTGCAATGAAACACAAGTTACACTACAAAAAATACACGGTAACACTTTCTATGAATGTCACCTTTGTAAGCATCTATAAACACATTCATAACATGTTATAATGCATTCATAAGACATTATAATCATAGCTATAAATATTTATAAAAATGCATTATACATTATAGCCATGTTTATTATGCATTATGAATTGTTAACATAATACATTATAAGTACTGATCATAACAAGTTATAATAGCTCATAAGTTGTATTTGCCTGCTCTAAGTAAAGTGAAGCATACTGTACTAAAGCCTCCTCCAGGGTAATTTACTGAAGGATTTACTGAAACACTAAAACATACACAGTAAAGCACATTACAGGCTTCAAATGTCAGAGTTTAAACTAGAGCTGCCATCAGTGTTTTACCCAATGTGGGAAAGTTAATGTACACCACCGTTAGCTTGGTATTTGTCTTTACGCTCTCCAAGCTGGGACTGACTTCTTTAGCACTGGCATTATAACATGTTATTAACACTATTTATAATGCATTATATTAATAATTCATAATGCATAATAAGCATGGCTATAAAGTGTAATTCAGTGTAATTCATTTTTATAAATATTTATAACCACGTTTATAATGCCTTATGAATACATTATAACGTTATAAATGTGTTTATAGATGCTTACAAATGTGACATTCATAGAAAGTGTTACTAAATACACTTAACAATATAAAGAAAAGATTAAAAAATGTTAAAAAAAAATTCATGCTTCTATTGTCAGAATAGCTAGAATGGTGAGAACAACTTTATAAAACAATTATTAGTAATATAAATCAGGATATCTGTACTATATTGTGTATAATGTAAGCAAAAAAGCAGTTTTACTTTCCTATCCCACAATGGTCACCACAGAAAACACCCTCACACCCAAGATGTAAACTCCAAGACAAGAATGTTTAAACAAAGCTTTAAACATTGAACTCTGAAACGATATGATGCTCAATAAAAGTAAAAATCTAGAGCTCTGATGTTGCTGTTGTGGTATCATGAATACTCAGTGATTGGGCAGCATGGAGACCTCGCCACCACTTCATATACAGCTGCCTCACCTGGAAGTAGAAGGAGAAAGGAATGAGTTTAAGAATGGTTATACACTTTAAGGCACCCTAAGTGGGGCTTTATTCTTCTTTGTTCAATAAAGCACAAATTAGATACTTTGCTTTATTCTTTGTGACCTGTGTACATAATTGCACTCTTAATAATAATAATAATAATAAAAATAATAATATAATAATAATAATACCATGAGACATAGAGTTTTAATTAGATGCTAAGTTAAAGAGATACGTTTTAGATGCTTTTAAAAGTGAGCACTGAGCTTCACTGTCTAATAAAATATGGAAATTGAGTTCCGCAGTTTAGAAGCAGAATAACTGAATGAGTCTCTCCATGTTTTCTGTATTTTACAGAAGGTATTTGTAGAAGGTCAGTATTTGCAGATCTAAGATCACAATTGGACCATAAGCAGGCAGACACTCTGTGATGTAAGCTGGTGCTAGATTATTTAGAGCCTTAAAAACTAGTAGCAGATCTTTAAAATCTATCCTGAACAATACAGATAGCCAGTGCATTTTTTTTTTTTTTTAATGGGAGTGATGTGATCTCTCTGTTCAGTTGTTGTTAGGATGCATGATGCCGCATTTTGTGTGAGTTGTTTGCATGTATTGTTTTCTTAGGAAGCCCAGTAAAAAGAGCATTAATCAACGCTGCTTGTAACGAATGCATGAACAAGTTTCTCTGCGTCACTCTGAGATAGAAAAGGCCGAACTTCAGTGACATTTCTCAAATGATAAAAAGCTTCTTTAATGACTGCGTTTACATACAGGATAAAACAGAGCTCAGAGTCTAAGATCACACCCAGGTTTCGAATTTCAGGTTTGGTATATGACGCTAAAGAATCAAGTTTGTCATAAATCATTTTGAGTTTCTGTACCAATGATCCGTATTTTGATTTTTTTGTGATTTAATTGTAGAAAATGTTGCATCTACCAAAAGATATCTGACACACAGCTGATTAGTCTGTCTAAAGAGTGTTGATCTTCAGATGGAATAGAAATGTATAACTCGGTGTTGTCAGCATTGCTATGAAAATTTCTATTATGTTTCCTAATGACATCACCTAGAGGTAGCATGTACAAAGATAAAAGCAAACGCCTTAAAACTGAATCCTGAGGGACTCCAAAAGAAATGCCAAATCTTTTTGATGAATGATTTCCAATTGAAAACAATGAACTGTCTATTACCTAAATATGATTTAAACCCATTCTAAAACTGTGCCTGAGAGGCCGACCCAGCATTAAAAGACACTGGATTAAAATCTTCTGGTCAACACTATAAAAGTTGCACTAAGATCTAATAAAACCACTCATAACATGAACCAATGCTGTCTCTGAAGGTTACTAGTGTGAAAATCACAAACAATTGGCATTATTAATTGTAATAATGCACATTAAACATATTAAGACTTAACTAGAATTAAGTGAGCATGATCTAATCACCTAAATTCACAATTCATTAGTGTAATCTTATAGTAGCATCAGGTGACTTCAGAAGTTTACATATGCAAGCTAAAAATAATTTAATACTTATTGAAACATTGATTTTTTAACCTTTTTTTAAAAAAAAACTCTAGACAGAAATCGTATTTGAAGTATTAATTTTAGTAGACTTATTAGTCTTATTAGCTCTGATGCAATATATTCATCCAACACCATCTAGAACAATGACAATTTAGTGATGAATTCATGCTCAATAATTTGCAGAACTTAGGGAAGTATTTAAAGTGAATTATTAGAAATAATAATGCAATTATTAATTATATATTAATTACATGAATACTTAAACAAGAATGTCTTATTTAAAGAGTTGATATTTTTTAAGCTAGTTAGAAGAACAACATTTGGTTCCAGATTTCTCCTCAATGTCCCCAGCTGTGTCATAGATTTGTTAAATACTATTAGCAGCTCTCTTGATTTAACTTAATGAAGTATTGATTAGCTAAACCAACAAAGACATAGGAAAAACATACATTAATAAAAACTCTTTATTGTATTTGCGTTTTGAAGGAAATATATTGCCATAAGAATCCCTAAAATTTAAGATCTTACTTCTACAATGTAAAATGTTACCTTATTCATGCTACAGACTAAGGTATGGCTTGATTATAGTTCTAAGATCAGACCACACCAACCCAACAAACACCAATAAATACAAATATGTGTGCACAGTCATGCCTGTGTGATTGTAAGTTTACTCTAGAATATTCTCCTCTATTCACACTGGTCTAGAATGTTCTCCCCCCATTCATAATGTTCTAGAATAGTCTCCATATTTACACTGTTTTACAATGTTCTTCACCAATGATGCTTTTTTAGAATGTCCACCCCCTTCACAGTGTTCTAGCATGTTTTTCTACATTCACTCTTTTCTAAAATGTTCTCCCCAATTCACAGTTCTAGAATGCTCTCAACCATTCACACATTTCTAGAATGTTACCTCCCCATTTACATTGTTCTAGAATGTTCTCTCCCTTTCACACTGTTCCAGAATGCTCCCCCCTCAGTCACATTGCTCTGGAATGTTCCTCTCTCTTTCACATTGGTTCACATCTAGTTTGCTTAGTTCTTTAGTTCTTTTTCTGGACATTGTAAAGACAAATGTAGTCATTAGAATGCTGGTGTTTGTTGGGGAATGTTGGGTCGGTCTGCCACAGTTTTAAAGTAGAACAGGTGAGGACTGACCTCTTGATTGAGGACACAATGGACCAGGAAGATGAAGGTGCCTTGCTGGGAGTTGAGCAAGATGAAGACGATCTCCAACGCCTTACTGCTGTCTGCGAAGAAACCCAGAATCCAGGAGCAACCAAGGATGATAAACTGGATCATGGCTTTCAAGGCCACACTTCTAAAGAGTCGCTGGTCACTTTCTGACCGTTTGATTCTCAAAATTTCACCTTTCATGTTTTTCAGAGTTGAGAATATGATGATCAAGATGCTGATGAAGAGAACTGTGTTTGCCTGGAAAGAAAAAAAAATCTATTTATTTATTTATTTAATTTTATATTTGTGACGGGCCTGTGTCATTACAGGCCTGTGTCATTACAGGCCTGTGTCATTACAGGCCTGTGCCGTTACAGGTGGAGTTGTAGTGGGTGGGCCTGAAGGCCTCATCAAGAACACTACTTACACCTGTGTGGTGTGCTTGTGGGGGAGCTCCTCTTTTGTTTTGTTGTTTGTGTCCCGGGCAGTTTGTTGGGCCAGTTCTCTTTTGTTCTTTTGGGCATTATGCTTCAGTTTATTCATTTATTTTGGAGTTATTTTGGCCTACAGTTTTTGTCCTTGAGATTTTTGCACCAGAACCTTAAGTTTATTTCATATTCAAATCATTATTTCATTTATTCACTGTGTGCTTCCCTTTTATTTGTCATGATGTTGAGCCAGTCATGACATATTTTTGATATCATTTAAGTTTTAAGAAACTACTAACTAGCTTTCAGTTGTCTAAGAGTCATAGTCAGCTGTAACCTAACTTGTGTTGTTCTTTCTAAGATAGCATCTAGTAAACTAGACTACTAGATTAGGGCTGGTAAGTTATGCCTCTGCCATTCAGTGTGCTGTTCTCTGGGTGTTTGCTCTCCTTCTATTGCTCACTGTGCTGTGTCTATGTTTCAGTCTGCTGTTCTCTTTTCTTCTCTATCATTCAGTGTGCTGCTCTTTTGGTTTTTCTTCTTTGTCTTTCGTGCATCGTGCTGTTCTCTTGTTTTTTCTTCCCTGTCTATCATTCACTGTGCTGCTCTCTCAGTGTTTCCTCACTCTGTACATCAGTGTGTTTAGTGCTTTGTTTCCAGTGTGTAGTACTTACAGCCAGAATGAAACTAACAGGCCCCAGAAAACTCCACAAAAAGTCTTTCTTAAGCCAGCACCTACACACACACACACACACACACACACACACACAATAAATATGCCCTCAGAAATATTTACTGTGTTTTTGAACAAATCATGATATTCCTGTGCATTTTGCCATTAACTAAACTCCACCCTTTTATGATGAAACTCCACCCACTCTCCATACTCACCTTTCACTGCCATATCCATCAGGAACAACCACAGCAGATATGCCCACCACAGCCAGAGGTGCAACGTATCCAATCACAACCAGCCACTTCCCCTGAAGACTCTCCTTCACCTTTGATCTGATCGTTGTGAGATTCTTCACAGCGATGAAGAGCAGCACAGCTTCAATGAACATCCACACAAAAGCGGAGAGAAAGAGGAAGTGCAGAACACCTGCCAGCACTGCACACAGCAGCTGGAGAGAGAGAGAGAGAGAGAGAGAGAGAGAGAGAGAGAGAGAGAGAGAGAGAGAAAGAGAGTTGTTCAAGAAAAGGGGAGTCAGAGCACCAGAATCAAACATACTACTTAGATTTTTGTTTTCTGCAACTCTGTGTTTCATCTTTCTTTATCATTTAGTGTGATGCTCTCTGAGTGTTTCTTCTCTATCATTCAGTGTTACTGGTCTCTGGGTGTTTCCTCTATCTCTGTCATTCACAGTGCTGCTCTCTGGGTCTCTCTCTTTCTCTCTCTCTCTTTCTCTGTCTCACTCTATTGTTCAGTGTACGGCTATCTTATGATGACAAAACAGCTGGAATCAAATTGAGAGGCAGCAGGATGGTAAGCCTACCAATAATCATGAACATAAACGAAAGCTTACCATTAAAATCTGTTGCCACAAATGGTACCTGTGCAGCAAAACACTTTCTAAGATTTGTTTTTTCAATGCCACAGATGCAATTTGTTGTACCATTTTTGTTTGCAAGTCACCTTACATTTCATTCAATTCAATTGAAATTTGCATTGTGCTTTTTACAATTGCAGTTTTATACACTCTGGTTAGCAATCTTTTTTCTAGCACGCTGAGTTTAAAACTTGAAATGGTTAAGTATTCTCCAGTGCAGTTCACTTTGTGTTTTTTTGCAGTTTTATCCTCCACTTATCCATCTTTGCCTGCATTCCCACTCGAAAACATTTCACACCCACTATACAAAATATGTGTGTTGTGCTGTTAGGGCCAACTAGCAAGGTTGAGCCTCACTTGTGTAAGAAAAAGTAACTCAAGTACAATGCAACATCTACTTCGACACAGTACTTGGGCTGTTAGTGATTTCATCGAAGCCGTTAAGCTCTTTAATAATGCTGCATGAGCAGCAGCTCAAAATCATGCAGTGACTGGCTTCACTTGTCTCAAAGAAAACAGATGAGATTGGGATATCCTTGCTAGTGAGTTGGAATTGGCAATGAGTAGATTGGGAGTATTTTAGAGAGTCCCCCTCCCAAAAAAAGTAAATTTACTCACCAGTTGAGGTTCTATGTAATGCATGAATTTCTGTGTCAGCAGAAATAGAAGGTGGGCCAGTAACAAGCTTATGCACAGGTTGATCTGAGCTGTGTTGGTCACCCTTGGGTTCCGTCGATAAACAGCAAATGTCAGTAGAGCCAAGCTGAGGAACACCAGCCCCACTGCCACTGCCACCATGATGATCTGCTCCATGACTGGATCACTCTGGAAAAGAACCTTCAAGGTTTTCAATTCAGCATTTGCTGATGTTAGGTTTTCCTGTTTGTTTGATGTTTCTTGGCATCTCAAGAGGTCTGTGGCCATTTGTTAATTAGTTACTAATACCCAACATATGAAGTCTTACTGTAAAACGCATTAGCCTTAGTTAATGAACTACTTATAACTGCCAAAAAGAAGCCGTACTATAACATAGCAATGTATGAATTTGAAACTATTTATAAATCATTATAAAGTTATTTACTTATTTTAAAGTGGAACCTGTTTTATTTTAAGAGATTCATAGAAAATAAGGAAATATGTAAGAAACATTTTCAGCGTGAACCTTATGTTGTTATAGAAAAGTAAATTCTGCAAAATTAATTTAATTAAGGAAAAAATCCACAGAAAATGTCTTTTTCTGTGCTTGCTTCTGTGCTGTACTCTTGAGTGATGAACATTCTCTTAATTAATTGCAAGCAAAATATGCAATAAATACATTTTGGAAACAATTTTGAACATACCGAATATACAGTATATTTTGAATATGACCGAATTTGGAAAGCTGACATTATACCTTGCTCTTTTCAGTAAAAACATAATGATAATTATACATATACAATAATAAATAAAGAAATGTATTTGTTTCACATCTTTTTTTCAAGTAATTTTTATTTTATTTTCAGCATTCTTGCCTTTTAGATGGTTCCCTATGTAGCTACTCCTCTTTCTTTGTACGAGGCCAGACAAAAGCACACCTCTTTTGGCATCATTTTGTTACATCTTTGATCTTACCTCATCATATGAGGGTGGGTTGGTCTGCATGATGAGAGCGAAGGTTGACAGGTGATCACAGGAGCAAACAGAGTGACTGCTGTTGGTCTGGAGAAGGTCACATCCATATACAACCCATTGAGTGGCATCCCAGTACACACAGGAAAGTGTACCACTAGGGTCAATTTCCTAGAAAAAAAGGAGGAGAGATTTTAATATTTTAGTTGATGTTTAAGTGTTTACATCACTGTTATGTATAGTATCTCATCACCACCAAATTTAATCTTGTCACGCTAGAGGTGGATTGGGTGTAACCACTGTAAAGTATGCTGGTGAATCTGTAATGTTGTGGGGGTATTTTTCTTCCAAAGGCTCTGGACAAATAATTCAGATACGTGGTATCACAGACACGTGCCAGCAGAATTAAAATCAAAACCTAATTGCCTCAGCCAGAAAGCTTAACTAGGCTGTAGTTGGATCTTCCAGCAGGACAATGATGCAAAGCACGCCTCAAAATCACCCAAAAATAGTTCAAAGAACCAAGGTTTTGCAATGGCCATCCAGTTACAACCTGTGGGATGAGCTGAAAAGGAGAGTCCACAGTGCAGAGCTCAGAATCCAAAGGATATGGAGAGATTATGAATGGAGGAAAGGTCTCAGATCCCTTGCCAATTGTTCTCCAGACTCATTAAGCATTACTGGAGAAGAGTCAAGCCATTATCTTTGAGAAAAGGAGGCTGCACAAAGTATTTAATGAAGAGGTACCAACAATTGTGGTACACATAGATTTGAGAAGATGTGGAGTCTTTCAGAAGATTTAGGTCTACAAGAAGAGTCTTCAGGAAATGAGCTGAAGAGGAAATCAAGTTCTTCAGCAGAGTTGCCTATAGATAATCAGTGTACTGTCCTGTCGAGAGTAAAGGACAATAGATCACAATGATGTAAAGTGTTTTTGTGTAAAGACAGTTCAAGTGAAGAGATGTGGAGCTGAGGTACAAGGAGAGGAGAGATTGACCAAACATAAGTACTTCGCAATTCTGTCCCCCCAGCCTGACTTGACCTAAAATCCACAAGGGATGTGGGAGAAAAGTAAGGCAGTGGAGAGGACCAGTGATGTTGATGTGTTCTCTGAAGTGATCCCAGTCTCTATAAATGCTAAAAAGTGAGGGAGAAGTATGGTTTCATATGTTGAAGGTAGACCCCAACCAAAAGCACATGCTACTTTTATCCATTGTTGCTTGAAAGCATTGCCAGTTAATAAAAACAGCATATGCTTTTAAATTCTAAACGAAGCTTTAACCAGAGACATCAAACTACCCATAGCTTAGATAGTAGTTTGAAGGCAATGTGGTGCTTATTTTGTATTGCTACAAAAAAAAGGTAGCACACAGAAAGGAGCAGTAATTAACAAGATAAAGCAAAGGCAAAATCTCTGAATTTACTGCCTGCAAGGTGTTAATATTGATAGTTAAGATGAATTAATTACTAAATGATTCGCTCAAAAAAAGCAACAACTCACAAATGAAAAATACATTACATGCATAAATCAAAAGTTTGAACTGGCAGTATTTAAGCCAGAGCTGCCATAAATCACAAAGTCACAAATAAACTTAGTTCAGGAAAAGTAGTATACACCACTGTTAGCTGTGGCTCTAAGATAACAATGTAAATCTCATAGAGGTCATAGCAGAAATTAATGCTATCAGATAGTAAATAATAATGACAAAAAAGCTTTTCAAAAGGAAAGTGCATTATATTAAGAAAAACTGTCTGATTTTGAACTTTTCCTGTTTGTATGTAAGTAAGGAGAGAACAAAAGAGGGTAATGTGTCACATAACCAGCTGCACCATCAATCCAAATTTCTGGCCTCTCAAGTTATTGCATATTCTTGTTGTACATTCTATGTATAACAGTAGTGAAAGAGTGGCCTCATCAGAATTATAAATTATGTTTCCACTGTTAGACAAAAATCTGAAACATACACATTCACCACGTTCCTTTTTATAATAAACCAACATTTTGGAAAACTATTAAAGAACAAAAAATTAAATTGCCCAAGGTACTTTATTTTAAACTGGAAAAAACACATCTGAAAATTCATCCATAGAGCCATGTGTGGTGAACAGTAATCAGGTCTAGAAACTATGAGATTTTTTTATTTGTGACAGAAAATAATATTAAGGTGGATACACAAACACTGATAACTGGCTAGAAATCTACTAAAAAAGCTTGGACTAAAACTAAAACTGATAAGTCTGAAAATAAAATAGAAGTATATTACCACAAAAACTAAAAATAATATTTCTCCTTGAAAACTAAACAAAAGTAAACAGTATTTTACAGAATTCAAACAGATAACACAGAAATAAAACACTATATTATAAAAACTGTATATTGAACTGCTCTGACGAGAGATTAATTAAAGATTGAGCAAACTCACTGCAGTGTGCTTCACAGTGAAGTTCACTGGTGTGGTGAGCGTTTGATTGGCAGTTCTGGGCAGTGTGGCTGATATTACAGTGGACATCATGGTTTTCACTGTGTTGTTAGTTGTATTGAACAGGTTGGGTTTCAGCACACTCGACAAGTTAGTGTAGCTCATGAAGGCCACAGCTGCTGAATCTGAAGCACAACAAAAATCACTAAAATCAGATGTGTCTACTGAAAAGCCAGCATCTTATTGTAAAGGCTTCCCCACTGATATAAAAAATAAAACAGCATAGGTTGCGCGTGAGTCATGCAAATTGTTTAGATCAATTCTACAGAATTTTGTTGATTCTGATTTGTTTACCGTGCTAGTAACAGGATTTATAAGAAACGGCACTTTGGAAATACCACCCTGAAAATATAATTTTGTTAATTTGTAGTAACAGGAGGTTTAAGAAGACTCATTTTAATGCAGTCCATGGTTTTCATTTATCTCTACAACTGTCCCCGGATTAAACACTTTAGCCCCAGTTGGCAGCAGATGAGTGCAAATATTCAAACACTGCTACAATACCATTGCTATTCTTTGAAATCTGGATGAGGTCGATGTTCATCTGAGCGTTGTTTATGCTGAGCTGAGGGGTTTCTTTCAAGAAGGCATTTAGTCCGACTGCAAAGACTTGAACTTCTGAAAGATGCAACGTTAAAACTCCATTAGAAGTGCCATGCAACACTAGTGTTTAGGAATTTAAATCAGATAAAGATGATTTCTGTTTTCTTAAAAAGAATAGGATTTTTTTAAAAAAAACCTGACATGTTCAAAGGATTAATATCTGTTGAAATGTTCTAAAATTTGATTTCTGTTAAAATTTGAGACTTTTGTCCTAATCATTATATTACAAGGGTGAAAACTTTGGCCCATATTTATCAGAATTCTTAGACTAATAATACTGATCAGCATATGCTTTTTATCTACCACTGAACAAAATTCTATGACCTGATGAGAACTGATCTTAAAACAGTGCTGTTATTCTGAGATGCTTGATAAATGTGGGCCTTTGTGAGTATATTCTTTTGCTAAAAATGGTATGGTTCTATCTATTGTTTTAAAATTCTGTACATATAATTATTCTTTTAGCTCAGTCCTGTTTACATGTAAACAGTACAGTAAATGTACACCATCCCCATAATACCAAATTCTGAAAATGACATAGTAAAATGGTTTAATACTATGAAATTACCCACAAAATGGGTAGATAATATACCAATGGTATTGACAAGTTTGTGGAGATACATTAGTTATGTCAAGAGAGTCTGTAGCTGAAACAATCTAGCGAACTTTCCATTACTGTTTGAGATTTTTACATAGATTTATAGAAAAGACTGTGGCCAAAAATCCTAGGCAATGACTTTGTTAAGGTATGAAAGTTAATTGTACTTTATATGAGTTTTGCTGTTTTGAATATGCTATCTCAATGTCTCAAAACTGCACTGAATGCAAACATAACCTTATATTTCTAATGACTCAGTTATATACTCATTTACCTAAACCCTCAACAGAGATGCTGAGAACTGAGTAGTTGTCCTGTCGACGGTTCACCAGTGTAGATACCAATGTCTCAGTCCTGTTCAAAACTCGATTCCCAAAGGCTACACGCTGATCTGAATTCATTGTTTTATTGTTCAGAGTTTGCTGAAGTGCCAACTTTACAATCTGATTAAATAACCAGAGAGACAATTAAACATTAACATAAACAAAATGTATATAGTAAACTTTCTCATTGACATTTTTTTCTTTTAAGTACCATTTGTCTTACAGTACTTACATTTGGTGGAAGCATTGGATTAATGCTTTTCTCGATTTGGTTGAACAGATTGTCTGCACAGGCTGTTGTGAATTTTTTCTAAAACAAAAAGTCAGTTACAGTTTAGAATATATACATCTGATCATTACCAATCTTCATCATTCTACAGACATCAAATGTCATGCTGATTTTAACTTATATGTAATTGTAACAAACCTTGCATTCTGCAGACACAGTGAAATTCTGATCTGAAAGAGAAAAAACAATATCTAAAATAAGAATCTACGGAAGATAAATGTACTAATTATTGGCCCCCTCCTAATTCAGATCTTTGTGCATCTTCACTTAGTCAACATTTCATGAGGTGGTAAAACAAATAGCAGTGGATCTGAGACCAGTCCTAAAACACCTGACAGATTTTATATTAAATATCCTCAAATGTGTTTATGATTCTGTATATTCAACAATCATGTTCTCTGAATGCCCCTCCCCTCTTTTTACACACCACACATTCCCATGAGGTGTAATTCCACATATCACAAACACATACTATCTCCATAGCAAAGAAATTTAGTTCCAACCAGGGATGCATTTCCCAAAAACTTAGTTGTCTATGTTGGTAAGTTCCGTCAGAGGATCCATCGTTAAATGAGAGAGTGTTTCCCAAAACCTCAGTTCAGCAAAAATTTGTGGCCAGCTGAGTAGTTTGAGCGACAGCTTGGAGGCAGCGGTTAGTATCTTAGTTTCCGGGTAGTTCCTGACAAAGACATCATCAAATCTGGGAGTTTTAACTGAATGAGGCAAACACACTGTGAAGTTTGGGTGCTCTGTTCACAGTCTCATTCTTAAAATAACAATTTCTCTATCAGTTCTCTTAGTTAGATGATATTGTTGTTATAACAAGCTGTTTTGCATGTGCATGATGTATTTATGGATGTAGTGTCTTTTTTATGCAACAAATGTAGTTTTTGTTTGCCCAGAGCTTGGTTTACTATCTGTTATTTTGCTTTTGGTTTTTTAAATGTAATTAAAGTAATACAGTGCAACAGTTCATGAGGCCCAACTAGGAGTTTGTATAAATTGCAGAGGAGAGTGGTACATGTTGTATATTCATATTTGGCTCTATAGAGATTCTTTATTAAAACACTAGCACCCTCTCCTGGACAATAAAGACAGTGGAATTAGTATTGCAGAAAGGAAAATGCCAAGATGATTCTATTTAGCAATTCCCCAAGCTATGCTGAATATAGCAGTTCAGTGCTGTTTGCGCTCTAAACCTTGTTTCTTCTGAACAAAGAATGAAGCTGAAGCGAGCAAATAGTGGAATATAAAGACAGACAAGAAAATGTCAGTGGATGATAGCAAATGAGGTAGAAAATGAGAGAATGCTCTGTGTTCCTTTCTGTCATTGGAGCAGAAGCATATTGGCTATGAAAATCTCACTGCCAAACAAGCCCAGTAGCTCATCCTACAAACAGCTGTGAAAAGTTAGCCTCTCATTACAACCCCAAACCGCAAGTGCTCTGGGACCAATTTGTTAGTGACTTAAGAAGGGAAGCCATTCAGAGAAACTTGTTGGAAGAACGAGCTCTTACATTCAAGAATGCATATGTTATCGCATTGTCGATGGAATTGGTGTCTAAGAATATGCTTGTATTTGCAGGAAATTCCAAATTGTCATGGATCAGATACTCCAGGGCCTCAACCAGGTAACTTGCTTTCTGGATGACGTTCTGATTACTGCAAAAACGAGAGGATAGCACCCGAAGAAGCTAGAGGAGGTGCTAAGCTGGTTGGAACAGTGTGGTGTGAGGGTGAAGAGAGCCAAATGCAAATTCATGCAAGACAAAATAGAGTACCTTGGGCATTTGACAGACAGAGAGGGGCTTCAACCGGCTAAGACAAAAGTTGCAGCCATTGTGAATGTGCTCAGACTGTCCAATGTTACTGAGCTACGCTCATTCTTAGGACTTTTTAAATTATTGTGGACATTTTCTGAAAGACGTCTACCTTACTGCAGCCGACAGAACCAGCTCCTCAAAAAAAGAGTTTCCGTGGACCTGGTCTCCAGACTGTGATGTAGCATTTCAAAATTCAAAACAACAGCATTTCACACATAATGGAGGATGGTGAAGAAAAGCCCATAGCACCTGCTTTGTGTACACTGGGTGATGCCAAGAGCAAGTACAGTCAAATTGAAAAAGAAGCTTTGGTTATAATTTTTGAAGTGAAGAAATTTCACAAATACCTATACAGAAGTAAATTCACACTCATCACTGATAACAAAATGCTCCTGGCCATCCTAGTTCCTGGGTCCACAATTCTAACTCTGACAGCATTAAGAATTCAGAGATGGCCACTCACGCTCATGGCTTATAACTATGAGATCCAATACTAGAAGTCAGACCATTCAGATGTTGATGCTCTGTCTCGACTGCTGAAGAGTAGAGAAACACAAAACAGCACAGGAGGACAGCATCTTCTATTTCCCATTGATGGGTGAGTTGCCAGTGCACATAATTGATGTAGCTAGAGCACCCTAAAGGATGCAGTTCTCTGCAAAGTGATGGAGTTTATCCTGAGGGGTTGGCAAAATTACCTACAAGATGAAACTCTGAAGCCCTTTTTCAGCTGAACGTAGGAACTGTCAGCAGAACAGGGGTGTAGTCTTTGAGGCTTCATAGTTATTTTACAAAGAATTTTGAATGACCCACACCAAGGGCACCTGGGCATTTGTAGAATGAAGTCCTTAGCCTGAAGCTATATGTGGTGGCCAAATCTCGACAGTGGCATTAAGAAAACAATACAGCACTGTAGCTTTTATCAAGCAGTGAGAAAACTGCCAGCAGTGGCGTAAAAGTTCAGTACAAACAGTGAAATCAGCTTTGTTAAAGCAAGTCCTGAGTAAAGAAGGACAAAAGACTACCAGGACGCTGCAACACAGGCTAATGTACTCCTGTACATTAGTAGCATTCCTACTAACGTACAGGAGTACCCCACATAGTGTTAGTGCCACCAGCCAAACTTTTCGTAAGATGTCAACTGAGAACAAGATTTAGTTTTCTGAAACCAGATCTTCCCAGAGTCATGGAGAACAAGGTGGAAAAGCAAAAGTGTTACGATAACCAGTCTGCATCCAAACTGAGACCTCTAGCTGAGGGAAACTCCATCCTAGTCTGACATTTTTGTGAGGGGAAGGGGAAATGGACAAAAGCTACAGCGGAGAAGCACTTTGGACCTGTCACATACTGTGTGTTCAATGGAGTAAGAAAGCGTGTTGTCCACATAGATCATCTGCTGCATGTAAGAGAGACAGAAGACGCACCTACCAACCAAAGGGAAGACAACTACCCAGCAGGGGACCTTGCAAAGAAGAAACCAGATGGCCAGATAGAAGCTGAGCACTCAGCTTCACAAACAGGAGCAAGTCCCTTACCGAGGAGTCCTGTAAGGGAGAAACCAGCGATGCCTTTACCAAGTCCTGTGGGCAGTAGGAAGCCTGCTACACCAGCAATTATGCTGACAGCTACCAAAGCACCCCTGTAGTTTAGGGGCATGTGGATCATAGGTACCCACAAAGAGTGCATGTACCACCACAGAGACTTGTAATCCTAAACTTAGTTGTTTGGCCAAGAGGCAGGATAATTTCCTGCACTTGAGGAACAAGGTTAGATAGTCTAACAAACAAACAAACAAACAAACAAATAAATAAGTAAGTAAACAATGTGAAAAAAGTCCCTGGGAAAAATGTAATTGATGTTGGAAAAGAATATATTGTGTACTCAAATGTTACTTAAGTTCCTTTTACCATAATAACATAACAATTTGAGGGAGAACGTTGTTGTATATTGGTATTTGTCTTTATAGTGTTTCTTTATGAGAACACTAGCAACATATACTGGGCAATACAGATAATGGCATTAGATTTACCAAAAGGGAAATATCTATTCAGTCATTCCCAAAGCTGGGTTGAATAAAGCAGTTCTGTTTTTTTTTGCATTCATAATATCATCCAAGATATTACAGTACAGAACTGGAAAAAAAAACAAAAAAAAAACAGAAAGAGCTCAGGAGGAGATTAATTCTTACAAGATCCCATTGAAATGCAAGAAAAAATCTAATAAGTATAACAAGAGATAAAAGAATGACAGGAACAATAGAGGCATAGAGTGAAGAAGTGAAGGCAGGGAGGTTCCATCAGGCAGGGCCTGGGATAGCCAGCTTTTAGTTTGTTTACCTGAGGAAAATTAGTCCTCATTGCAGTTATAGCTTATATCTAAGATAGCACTGTTACTATTGAAACATAAAAAAATATAATAATACATGTTAATTTATCAATTATCATTTAGCATTTTTCCAAAAGATACTGTTTCAAATTACCTAACTGTCCCGTAAGTGAAAATAAGTATATTGTTCACAACTAATGTTTATTTATAAAAATATATTAAAAGCTTGCATTATATATAGTGTAATAATTGAGTAGACACCCAAAACTACAAAAATCTGAAGGTCAGCCTTGAACCAGAAAGCATGCCTTTTCCACAGATTTAATGTAATGCAGTGAGTTAATGCACTGAGCTACCAGTACCTGCACTTGCAATTTGCACATTTGGATATAAAATCTCCTTTTTAGTACTATGGACGTGACATTACTTAAATATAAAGCAATACTTTTAGAATGTGGGACATCTTTTGTAGAGTAAACATATTTAAAGTTATTAAACTACAAATTAAATTACCCAACCCCAACGCATTTTATGTATTTTAGGTAATATTACTTTTCATGTATTTAACGCTTATTTTTTTACTCTTGTTCATGATAGACTACAATAAGGTCCACTTTATCTGCACAAGTTAGTCTACTATTCATAGACTTGCTGTCAGGTTATTCATTGCAAATTCCATTAAAGACACAGGTCAAACCACTACAGTTCAGTGGTTTCAACTAATATGGCATAAACTACTGAGGTCCAACTGAACTGCGATGGTTTAGGATGCAGTTGTTCATTTGATGTTGTTAGTTTAATGAACCATTGTACTATGTTGGTTCAGCAGTGACTTGGTCGTTGTTCAGGAAATACACAAATATAGCATTACTGAGATCCAATAAGATAAGCTAAGGTCATGTCAGAGTAAGGTAGCTCTTTAAAATAAAATAAGTTGAAATATTTAAAAATAATTATGAAATTCCACTGGCACCCCTGCTGGCATCAGGTTCAATGCAATTGTAATGACTACTGTTAATGCCTAACATTGTGGAGATCACATCTGAATTATGGACATAAAAAAGCAAACATCTATGTCTGATAAATGCTAGTAACTCTCTGGAAAATCACAAAAGCAGTACCTGCACAGTAAGCTGCATAGTAGAAAGATGGTCTGACAAACTCATAGATGTAATAGTTTCCTGGACATGCTTTGACTCGAATTGGGGTGGATCTGTAGTAACAGCAGTCACTTCTATACTCCCCACAGACTCTACGAGTGACTATTCCATCCTCTATCTGAGGGTGAGATCCATTCAGCCACAGAGTGTAACGAGTCCCACATCTGAACCAATTAACACAGCTCTCAGGCATACGGACGCTCCTCCCCTTATACAGCAGCCGATACCAGCCATTCCAGTTGAAGTTTCTGTCAGAGTTGTACCCTCCAGTCTCATTAGCGCCTCTCCAGGGTTGATCCAGAGATGTGTAGTTATTGCAGGGATCATAACTAGGAGCATCCAATGTAACTGTCAACACAGTACATATAATGACAGCACGTAATGTCAAATTATCAAACTAATTAAATTAATTAATCAATGAATTATATCCTATTCCTATATGAAACCTTAATCAGTTAATCACTGCTGCTTATTCTGTATCATGAGTTGTGGTGACTGTTAAGTGCCAGATATGCACCTCATATAGACCTTGTTCTGTTTTCTTCTTTCTTTCTTTCTTTCTTTCTTTCTTTCTTTTTATTTCTTTTCTTGAGCTGATGAAGATCTGTTTTCATCATTGGGTACAACCTCATCATCCTTCATCCTCCTCTACCCAGTCTGTATCCTGGCTATTTACTTACTTTTTTTTTAAACTGTTTTAAATATAAGTAAGTGGATAGCCAGTGCCAGCCACCACTTCCCCTCTGTTCCCTACTGCGTGTTATTACTGTAGTAATTTTCATCCACTTATGTGAAACAGTCTGTGAGTCTGAAATGTCTGTTACAACCATCTCCTCACCTGTCTAATCCCAGGGAAAGAAATCAGGTAAGAAAATACATCTGAACATTCACATATCAAATTTAAATTTTAGTCACAGTATGTTAGAATGTTATCCCTTGCACTTTGGTTTTGTTTTCAGGTTAGTCTTGTATTGTATGTCTTGTATTTTTTTTTAATGTCAATGAAAAGGTTTCAATGAAGTAAAGATTAGTTCTGCAACTGAGCTTGACTCATACATAACTATCATAATAAATATATAATATAATGAATAAATATTTATATAAACTGCCATGCTTGACAGTGTGAATACTGGGCTTTTATAGAATTATGTTAGATGCAACTGGTACAATATAATCAGATTAAAATGCATTTAACCCTGACCTGATCGCTTTACACCAAAGTTGAACATATTTTAATATTACCATATTTTTGGGGTGTGGCATTCTTCTACTACATAGTCTCCCTCTCTTTTCTGAACAGTGATAAGGTATTATATTATGAGCAGAGTTGGGTAGTAACAGAATTTAACTGTAATGTAACAGTAATGGTATTCTATTACAGTTACAGTGAAAAATACAGTAATCAGATTAGAGGTATATAATAAAAATAAGGTGATAAGCAGCAGGATTACATTTAAGATACATAGATATAACTCATTGCTGTTTACCAAAATTATAAAATCAGTTTTATAATCAGCATATAATAAAGTTCAGTAAGCACTATTTTTGTAATAAAAGAAGAGCCTCTTGGTTTCTTTGTATTAGTGTACCTATAATCTGTTAAAAATATATATGCATGAAATAGTAGGTAAATGTTTAACTTTAGAAATTATAACAGTAACACATGAATTAACCGAATTATGGTTATACTGATTGAGTTAATGTTTTTTTTTTACGTCTAAAGACATTATAAAAATAGAATTAAACATGTAATTTTTTCTAGTATTGTAAATTTCTCTGATGAAGAAACTTTGTTTCTTGCTTAAAAGTTTAACAGATCTTTATCACACAATTTACTATGATTGGCAGCACTTCTTCCTTTAAAATCCGTAGCTGTGTTTCTGATAATTTTGGTTTGCTTTGTTTTTTTTTTTACATTTCCAAAAAAGTTGGGAAGCTGCACAAAATGTAACTAAAATTAAATTCAATGATGTGCAAATCATTTCAACCCTATATTTCATTGAAAATCATACAAAGACAACAAATCCAATGTTGAAACTGAAAATTTAATTCTTTTTTGAAAAATATATGCCCATTTTGAATTTGATGCCAACAAAACAACAAAAAAAAAGTTGGGATGGGGGCATGTTTACCACTGTGTTTCATCACCTCTGTGTATCTGGGAACTGAGGAGACACTGCTATAGTTTTGAAAGTGAAATGTTTTCCCATTTTTGCTTAACATAGGATTTCAGCTGCTCATCAGTGCAAGGGTGTCCTTTGTCATATTTGTAATTTCATAATGCACCAAATGTTATCAGTGGTCACAGATGTGGATTGCAGGCAGGCCAGTTTAGCACCCGGACTCTTTTAATACAGTACCGTGCTGTTGTAATACATGCAGAATGTGGTTTGGCATTGTCTTGCTGAAATAAGCAAGGCCCTTCCTGAAAAAGACATTGTCTGGATGGCAGCATATGTTGTTAAAACATGTATATATTGTTCAGCATTAATGGAGCCTTTGCCATGTGCACTAATACACTCCTATATCATCATAAATACTAGGTTTTGAACTGTGCACTGATAATAAGCCGAGTGGTCTTTAGCCCGGAGGACATTTGTCTGACCACAGGACAGTTTTCCACTTCACTTCAGTCCATTTTAAATGAGTTCCAGTCCAGAGAAGGTGGCAGCATTTCTGGATTCTGTTTATATATAGTTTCTTCTTTGTGTTTGAGTTTTAATTAGCATATGTGGATGCAGTGCCAAACTGTGTTCTGAGACAGAGGTTTTCAGAAGTTTTTTCTGAGCCCATGCTACTTGAGAACTATGTCTGTTTTTAATGCAGTGCAGTCTGAGAGCCCAAAGATCACGGCCAGCAAATATTGTTTTTTGCTTTCTTTTCCCTTGCAAACAGAGATTTCTCCAGATTCTCTGAATCTTTTGATGTTATTGTACTGTAGATGATGAACAGCAAAAGTTCTTTGTTATTTTATGTTAAGAAATGTTATTCTTGAACTGTTGCACTATTTGATCATGCAGTCTTTCAGAGAGTGGTGAACCCCTCCTCATCTTTACTTCTGAAAGACTCAGCCTCTCTGGGATGCTCATTTCATACCCAATCGTATTACTGACCTGTTGGCAATTAACCACCCGGAGATTTTTTTTTTAACCATTACACAACTTTACCAGCCTTTTGTTGCCCCCGTCCCAACTTTTTTGGAACTTTTTGCTGGCATCAAATTCAAAATGGGCACATATTTGTCAAAGAACAAGAACATTTCTCAGTTTCCAAATTTTATATGTTGTCTTTGTAGCATTTTCAATGAAATATAGGGATTTAAATGAGTTTCACATCATTGCATTTTGTTTTTATTTACATTTTGAACAGCATCACAACTTTTTTGGAAATGGGGTTGTATTATCTTTTTAATTGTGTCTATTTTAACAGCCAATCGGAGCCTCACTTGGAGTGAGTCTTTAGTATGTATGATCCCATCTTGATATGTGAATTTTGATTTGCTGTTGCCGAAGACACCAGTGAAAATATCACAGCACTAAAAAGACCCTAGTGGGCTAATCTCAGCCTTAGTAACTTTCTGAATAGCTCCTATTTACTGTGTCACACAGTGTGTGAGGCAGTGTAGTGTTATCGCTGAATCTTGGGAATCTGGCCCAATATAGGAAACAGCAGACTTTACCTGCACAGTATGTGGGTAATGGAATTGATACAGGTGGCTTGACGAGTCTGTAGACGTAATAATTTCTTGGGCAGGCTTTGACTTGAATTGGGTTGGATCTGTAGGAATTACATTGACTGAGATCTTTCACAGAGCCATGGTATCCAAAGATTTCTCGGGTGACAATGCCGTTTCTTGGACGTGGATGAGATCCTTTAAGGAAAAGTGAAGTGTATCCACCACAGGTCATATAACTCCAACACCAATCAAATTCAGGAATCTGAGCACTTTTTCCCTGAAGATACAGACGATACCAGCCGCTCCACTCAAGAAGGGTGTCATCAAAATTTTGTAAGTAACTGTCTATTTTTCTCCAGTCATGTTTAAGAATACGGTAGAATATGCAGGGGTCAGACATATTTTTTTTTGAAGTATTTGCTGTTGAAAAAGAGATATTACAATTGAATGTATATATATACAAGTAACTCTTACTACTACATACCCAGAAGAGAAATGCAGATCAAATTTCAAATGCTTACAGCCAAACTATGTTTGCAAATAGTTATAATAAAAAGCTAATACACAATTTTAACTGTAACATGCAATTTTGTTTGTTTTAATGACTGCTAGGTGACATACTGGGTAAAACTGTTGGTGTATGTAGACTCACAGTCATATGCAAAAGTTTGTGTGTCCCAGTCAAATGACATCTCTCTATAGAGAACACAGTTCTGCACACAATAACTGTTTATTTGCTGAAATGAACTTTTTGGGAAAAAAATATGGCCTGTGCAACAGTTATGGCAATTTTCATGCCTTTTATTTTTTCGAATATGTTAAAATAAAATAAAATAATAAAAAATAAATAAATAAAAAATAAAAAAGAATTTGATTTCATTTATTTTAACTGGGACTGTTTAAACATTTGTATATGACTGTAGTTTGAACAATGTAATATTTGGATAATGCACTGTAAAATAGACATAGTTATATCACAGCCTGGCTATGTAACATTGAGTGTGTCTATTAATCTGCAGAGAATCAGATTTGTCAGCAGTTCATTCAGCAGGTCTACATGCCCTTGACTAATCAGATTTCTGCTTTGCAACCTGCCAAAAAAAACTCACAGAAAAAGGAAGTGACATAAAATTCACAATGATGTCACAGCTTTTTGTTTTTAAACATGGAGTCACTTTACCAGCTAATAAAGATATAAATCATGGAGAAGATGAAGAATAGTAGAAGAAGAATAGCATCACTCTGAAAGTGCTTTTCTTGAAATCCAATACCAGCCTTAATATGATCTAAGAAATCAGAGTATGCTGTTTATATGAACACTTGAATAATCAGATGACTGCCGAAATCTGATAATAATCATATTAGTGTTGTGCATGTAAAGGTACTCCATCTTGAATTATTAAGATAATGTACTAAAAATGTATTGTGCAGCCTTTTTGGTTTTACCCAGTATCAATTTATCTGACATACTTATAATGTTATTGTTTTTTGGCTATTCCATATCACTTCACATTGCATTCAAGTAAAAACATTAACACTTTAATAATGCATTACAAAAAAAAAGCATTATACAAATGCAAAACCAAAATGTATGTGTTGTATGGCTTAAATAATACTATGTAATACCTGGTAAAATGTGTAATAGTTCATGAGTAGTTATTGTTACATGCATAACAATTAATGAAATAAGAGATTATAACTTCATAATGTCAGGCTTCATAATGCATTCTAATATCTGTTCATGAGAACATTTGTAAGGGGCTATAACAATCACAGCAGGCCCAGGTGCACTCCCAGGTAAACATGTGTATAAGCATGTATATAATCTACTCCCAACAAAAATAATTAGTTTTTAAAAAAGCAAAACTTCTACATACATGTAGTGTGAAATTGTTTGTTTTAGCTAACTGGAAACTGTAATGCTAGCTGGCTACACTAACTGTCAGCTGTTAGTAACTAAAGTTAGATGTTAGCAGCACAAAGAGCTGCTTTATGTTAGTCAGTAGGTAACAACAGATAAGCAACAACTGCCTTTTTTAGAAATGCAGTTAATGGTAGTTGTAGCTTAAAAATAGCTTTTGTTAATACAAGCCTTAAATTCTGTGCTCTGATGCTCAGTGTGTAAGACAAACACATAAGTGGTGTGAAGTGGACAGGGAAATTCCCCACATTAGACATTTTGCACATGATTATCTAACTTCACTCAAAGTCTGTAAAAGGCACTTATAAGTGCTGCCATGTCATACAGAAATAATAGATTAAAGAAAGCAGTCAGAGGTAAAATGAATACATCATGTTGCTGAAATGTATTTTCCCACTACTAGTGGACTGACTGACCAGTGACAACTGAGGTGTATTCACCATTGTCCTAATAATGTACAAAACTGGCATAACAATCATATAAATATATCTATTGGAAACCTACTAGTGTTTATAGCTGACAGTGCAGTGCTGGATGTAGTCACTGGGGTGCTCGGAGTGATGGTGTTCACATCTGACGAATAAACACATTAAACTTATTAAAACAGTCATAGAAGCCTTATAATCATTACATATTCTTAAAAAAATGCAAGACGAAATTGATAAAACCAGCAGAGTACCTGTACAGTAAGCTGCAGTGCAGAATTTTGGCTTGACAAACTCATAGACGTAATAGTTTCCTGGACATGCTTTGACTCGAATTGGGATGAATCTGTAGTAACAGCAGATACTTCCTGACCTCCCACAGACGCCACGAGTGACTATTCCATCCTCTATCTGAGGGTGAGAACCGTTCAGCCACAGAGTGATATCAGTACCACATCTGGACTGATTAACACAGCTGTCTGGCATACGGACACTCATGCCATAATACAGCAGCCGATACCAGCCGTTCCAGTTGAAGTAGTTGTCACAGATGTTCAGTCCGGTTGTATTAGTAGCTCTCCAGGGTTGATCCAGAGGAGTGTACTTGTTGCAGGGATCATTCAATGTAGTTGTTACTGAAACCAATAAAAATGCATCAGCAATGAATCAATACAAAGTTTTTCCACACTTTCGATTCAGTTCTGTTGAGCTGCACAAGATCATCACTACTTAATCAGTATTTAGCGATGAATAACTGCAGACAGTTGACTCGTACATCTAATGTGTTTTTGCAACTAACAAACAAATTAGACTGTGCTAACTGTTAAATAAGTCTGCTTTACAGTTGAATAAATGTTTTATTAAATTTATGGGGTGTTTCTACAAAACAGACACCTTTATATCCTGGCTGTAGATTTTTAGATGTGTTCACATTTTTAAGATGATGCATGAAAACACATTTTTATGTACCAAATTATTGCTATATGTAATGAGTTAGTGTAACTTTCTAAGCATTTTGGACCAAAATATAAGTTCTATTCATGTCCCACACTTACAATTCCAAGCTTCGATCACATACAAAGATGGAAAATAGGTTACAAAATTCAGTAACACTTTACAATACAGTTCCTTAGTAACCTATTAACTATGCATTAATAAATCATGAACTGTTATCATAATTATCTGTAATGAATAATGCATGATGCTTCAATACAAATGAATGAACATGAGAAGGAATCACTTGTTCTTGCAGAAGTTAAAATATGAGGAAGATTTACAGAATGAAATGGTAAAATCTTAATTTTGACGTGCAAATTAATTTTCTGAGATCAAGACAAATAGGACATTAAAGCTAAAACAGTTAGCTATTGTAATTCAAATTTTAAAATGTCAATTTAATATTTAATTGTAAGAATACACATGTTAATCTGTAAATCATGTTAATAAAACAATCATTGAAATTATAATGAATTGAAAAAATGCTTAAATGAAAGTCTTACATACATTTTAAAACGATACAATTTATTAATTTTTATTTTGTCTTTTTTCTAGTATCAGTAACATTTTCTGATAATGAAACTTTATTTCTTGATTAAAACTTTAAAGCATCTTTATCAAAGAATTTGCACTTATTAACAGAACTTCTTTCCTTAAAATTTGTAGCTCTGTTAGGGTTCATTTGGTTTTTCTTTGTTAATTTTGTTTTTGTTTGTCACTTTGTCTATTTTGGCAGCCAACAAGAGTCTTTAATATGTATGACCTCATTTTGATATATATCGATTTTGACTGTCTCATGCCAAGGACACCAGTGAAAATACCACAGCAATAAAAAAGCACCGGTGCGCTAAAACACAGCCACAATGACTTTCTGAATAGATCTTATTTTCCAGCGTTGTTTCCACCAAAGTTAAAGAAACAGGCCTTATACAGGAAAGGGACAGACTTTACCTGCACAGTATGTGGGTAATGGAATTGATACAGGTGGCTTGACGAGTCTGTAGACGTAGTAATTTCCTGGGCAGGCTTTGACTTGGATTGAGTTTGATCTGTAAGATTACATTGACTGAGATCTTTCACAGAGCCATGGTATCCATAGATTTCTCGGGTAACGATGCTGTCTTCTGGATGTGGATGAGATCCTTTAAGGAAAAGTGCAGTGTAACCACCACAGGTCATAGAACTCCAACACCAATCAAATTCAGGAATCTGAGCACTTTTTCCCGTGAAGATACAGGCGATACCAGCCATTCCATTCAATAAGACTGTCATCAAAATATCTAAAGTCCAAACTGATGTCCAATCTGTCCATTTTTCTCCAGTCATGTTTAAGAACACCAAAGACACTGCAGGGGTCAGACGTGGTGTTTTTTGGAGAACCTCCTGTGGAAAAAGAGTCTTTAGAATCAAATGTATATCTATGAGTAACTTCTACCACTACATACCGAGAACAGGACTGCAGATCAATATTTAAATACTAACATCCAAAAGATGTTCATAAATAGTTATAAAAATGTTTATGTTTTGCTGCTGTAAGATGCAATTAATTTTTTTAATGACTGTTAGGTGACACACTGGGTAAAATTGTTGGTGTATGAAGACTTATATAAAAGTTTGTCATATACAAAATTTTGTGTCCCAGTCAAATGACATCTCTCTACAGAGAACACACTTCTGCACATTTCAACGCACAATTACTATTTATTTGCTGAATTTAACGTATTGGGGAAAAAAAAACTGAAAATATAAAGTTTGCACAAAGGTTATGGCATATTTCACACTTTTTTATTTTTTTCTCTAATATGTAAAAAAAAACAAAAAACAAAATGTAATTTGACCGGGACTGTTTAAATGTTTGTATGCAAATTCAGTTTGAACATTGTCATATTTGGACAGCGCAATGTAAAAAAAGACAGTTATATCACAGCCTGGCTATGTATCATGGAGTGTATTTACTAATCTGATAACTGCAGAAAATCCAATTTTGTCAGTAATAAAATGGGAAAACTACAGATCTACATGTGTCAGGGAATAATTGGATTTCTGCTTTGCAAACTGCCAAAAATTCACACTTCATGTCACAGTTTTTAGTCATTTTGCCAGCTAAAAAAAAATATAAATCATGTAAAAGATGAAGAATAGAAGGTGCTTTTCTTGAAATCCATTGACAGCCTTAATATGACCTAAGAAATCGGAGTATGCTGTTTATGTAAACAATTGAATAATCAGATGACTGCCAAAATCTGATAATAATCATATTACTGTTGTGCATGTAAATGCACTCAGTGTTGAATTATTAAGCCACAGTGTTTATTTAAATGTATTATACAACATTTTTTTTTTGTTTGTTTGTTTTACTCAGTGTCCGTTTATCTGATTTTCTTATAAATGATATTGTGTTTGGTTGTTCCACATCAGTTCACAATGCATTCATTTAAAAACATGAACAGTAAGTTGAAAATGACCGCTGTCCTACTCTAGTCAAATGTGATAAATAGTAGAATAGTAGACTTTCTACTAATCCTGTATTCATAATGCATTATAAATGTATTCATAACTTCTTAAGTGGCATACATAATACTTTATAATGCCTGGTATAAGTTTGTATAATTGCTTATAAGTAGTTATAGTTACATGCACAGCAATTCATAAAATAAGAGTATTGAACTTTACAATGCCAGGTTTTATAATGAATTATGAGCTGAATATTGGTTTATGAGAACATTGGGTCAAACTTTCTATGAAAACACTGTCAGTGTACATTGACTTTCCAACATTGAGTAAAACACTATTGATAGCAGCACTAGTTTAAAATCTGACATTTGAAGCCTGTAACATGCTTTATTGTGTATGTTGCAGTGTTGCAGTAAATCCTTCAGTAAATACTGCAACTTGAAGCCTTACTTGTAATACTGGAGGAAGCTTTAGTACAGTACACTTAACTTTACTTAGAGTGGACAAATACAACTAATGAGCTGTTATAATTTGTTATGAACACTACTTATAATGCATTTTGTTAATTCATAATGCATAATAAGTGTGGCTGGTAACACTTTCTATGAATGTCACCTTTGTAAGCATCTATAAACACATTAATAACATGTTTTAATGCGTCCATAAGGCATTATACACATGGCTATAAATATTTATAAAAATGCATTACATGTTATAGCCATGCTTATTATGTATTATGAATTGTTAATATAATACATTATAAGTACTGATCATAACAAATTATAAGAGCTCATAAGTGGTATTTGTCTGCTCCAGTGTTAAGAGTGAAGGCTTCAAGCTGAAGTATTTACTGAAGGATTTACTGAAACACTAAAACATACACAGTAAAGCACATTACAGGCTTCAAATGTCAGAGTTTAAACTAGTGCTGCCATCAGTGTTTTACCCAACGTGGGAAAGTCAACGTACACCACCGTTAGCTTGGTATTTGTCTTTACTTTGCAGTCTCCAAGCTGGGACTGATTTCTTTGGCACTGACAGTATAACATGTTATCAACACTACTTATAATGCATTATATTAACAATTCATAATGTATAATAAACATGGCTATAAAGTGTAATTCAATTTTAGAAATGTTTATAATCATGTTTATAATGCCATATGAATGCATTATAACATGTTATAAATGTGTTTATAGATGCTTACAAACGTGACATTCATAGAAAGTGTTAGCGTATGGCTATTATGTAATGCATTTTTATAAATATTTATAGCCATTTTTATGATGCCATAATAATGCATTATAGTATATTTTGAATGTGTTCATAGGTTCTTATAGACATAACATTCATAAAAAATGTTAGCAAACATTATAACAAAACAGAGTTATGGTATATTATCTGCATCACAGCAGGCCCAGGTGCACGTCCAGGTAAATATGTATAATCACTTCTGCCCCCACAAAATATAATTAGTTTTATTTTAAAAAGCAAAACTTCTTCTGTAGTGTGAGTTTAATTGTTAATTTTTTGCATGTGATTATCTCACTGAAATGATTATCTGCTGAAATGTGTATTCCCACTACTAGTGGACTGATGTCAGCAATTCATCTAGACACCAGAGGTCTCCCTCTCCGGAGTACTAGCCCTTTTCCAGAATCAAGCCACCCACACTTTATCATCTCTCTAATCAGTCACACCTTAAATACTCCTCCCATTCAGCCAGTCTGTGTGAAGTATTGCCAGTTCTTCGAGTCTGACTACTGAGGGTTTGTCTGTTTTTCTGGTATTTTGAACCTCTGCCTGACCTCTTGGAATCTGCTTTTGATTTTTGTCCCTTTTGCTCTGTTTGCCTGGCCTTTTGGACTGATTCTCTGTTATGGCCTTTTTTACTTTGCCTTTTTTTACCACTAGTTTTGGAATGCCCTATTGTTAATAAATCTACACATGGATCCTTCACAAGTTTCTGAGTCTGCTTCGTCACAGAATACTTCACCTCCATCGGATCCAGTAGGTTTAAGGGAGCTTCAGGAAGCGGTTATGGCTCAGGGCCAATTACTGGGATCACATGAACAACACCTGCAGCAACTCAATCACACTATACAGGAGCTTATTCACTCCCTCAGAGCCTTGCAGCCAAAATCTGCACCCACTGCTGCACCCTCCAGCTTCACCCCAGCCCCCCTTTCTTCCACAAGCCATCCGCCAATATCAGTCCCACTGTCCATCCCAGACAAATAAAATGGAACCCCTGATTTATGCCAAGGCTTCTTGATGCAATGTTCACTTTACTCCACTTTACTTTTCTGCCATTTGCCAGCAGCTTTCCTGTCAGATAACATTAAAATAGCATTTGTTCTGTCACTGCTTACAGGAAAAGCCCTGAGGTGGGCCACTGCAGTTTGGGGTGCACAGTCTTCCAATATGCAGACGTGTTCCCTGTTTTAACAAAAATTCAAAAAGGTGTTTAATCATTTATGTACTGGAAAGGATCCAGGAGAGCAACTCCTCCACGTCAAACAAGGGAAAAGCACAGCTTTGGATTATTCCCTTACCTTTTGCACTCTGAAAGTGGCTGGAATGACAATGTTTTAAAAGAAGTATACCACAATGGCCTAAATGAAGCACTAAAATCTGAAATGGCTTGCAAGGATAATGCTCTAACCCTGGACGGACTCATCAAACTGTCCATAAAGTTAGACAATCTCATCCGTTCATGCCAGCGGATTTCATCACAAGTCTCTATCCTAGCACATGCATTACCTCCATCCTCAGAACCAGAGGACATGGAAATTGATCAGCCAGAATCACCCCTGAGGAAAAACAAAGAAGTTTCAGGGAAAGGACTGTGTCTGTGCTGTGGAGAAAAAGGCCATTTCTGGGAAAATTGTAAAGCCCAGAAAATAACTTCTGTCCTGAGGGTGAGTGAATGAAAGTTGCAAACTTGCCTCCCTGGTTAAAATAACCTGGAGTATTGATTTTTGTGTCGTTTCAGCCCTGATAGACTCCTGAGCAGCTGCATCCTTATAAATTCCCCTCATCCTTGTAAATCACCCCTTAAAATCAAGGGCATAGATGGCCTACCTATGGGCACCATGGGCACCATTACTGACACCACCATTCTGATGAAACCACTAGCTTATTCCATACTGAAACTGTGTTATTGTTTATCATAGATTCCCCTGAACATCCAATTGTGTTAGGGTACCTATGGATAGCCACCAATAACCCCACCTTCCCTTTGGCCACTGGAGATCTCACGCATTGGAGTCCTTATTGCCACACCCACTGTCTGGCCCTTTCTTATCTAACCACCTCTATTGAAAGCCCTGACACACAAAAACAAGTCCTGGTCCCTGCTGAATATTCTGACATTTCTTTGGTTTTTAGCAAAACCAAAGTGGCACAATTACCCCCTCATCATCCCAGGGACTGTGCTATAGAATTGCTGCCAGGTATCACCCCTCCTAAGAGCAAAGTCTATCTCCTTTCCATTCGTGAAACCACTGCCATGGAAGAATACATCCAGGAAGCACTAGAAAGAGGGTTCATCTGACCCTTCTGTGTCCCCAGCCGCAGCAGGATTTATTTTTTTTTTTTTATTGAAAAGAGGGACAGTGGGTTGAGGCCATGCATCGATTACCAGGCTTGAACGCTATTAATGTAAAATACAGTCACCCCCTCCCTTTAATGCCTTCTGCCTTAGAACAAATTCGCCAAGCAACAATTTTACCAAACTGGATCTCCGTAGTGCCTATAATTTAGTTCAGATTTGTGAAGGAGATGAATGGAAAATGGCTTTTGTCACTACAAGTGGGCACTACAATTACACAGTAATATTTTATGGCCTTCCGAGTTCCAATCATTCATCAATGAAGTACTTTGTGACATGCTTAACTGATGGGTCATTGTGTACATAGATGACATCCTTATCTATTCCAAAATAGGGGAAAACACGTCACTCACATCAGACACATCTTGTAACAATTACAAGAGCATCAGCTGTTTGTAAAACTTGAGTAATGTGAGTTCCACAGATCTGTGATTTCCTTCCCGGGTTATGTCATTAGTGCTCAAGGGGTACAATTAGACAATAACGAAGTGAAAACTGTTACGGACTGGCCAATTCCCTGCTCTGTCAAAGAACTACGAAGGTTTCTTGGATTTGCAAATTTTTACCTGCGATTCATTTGTGATTTCAGCACAATTGCAGCCCCCTTGACATCCTTGTTACAGGGAAAACCCTAATCCCTGAAATGGAATGCAGCTGCTGAGACAGGCTTTGAAGAACTGAAGTCCAGATTTACTACCGCTCCCATCCTGAAACATCTAGACCCAACCCCGCCATTCACTGTGGAAGTAGATGCGACTGACACAGGGATAGGGGCTATACTGTCACGGTACACCTGCGAAAATGTATCCATGTGCCTTCTACTTCAGAAAACTCACTCCCACTGAGTGAAACTATGATGTTGGTAACAGATTTATTAGCAGTTAAAGCAACAATGGAAGAATGGAGACACTGGTTGGAGAGGCCCGTTATCCATTCATGATTCTCACCAATCACTGAAACCTTGAATACATAAAGGCAGCCAAGCATTTAAACCCACATCAGGCCTGGTGGGCTCTTTTTTTTACCATATTCAACCTTAACCTCACTTACTGACCTGGATCTAAGAATACCAAAGCGGATGCTCTCTCCTGTCTCCACGAACCAGATTATGCCCCCCATCGGTGATGAAACCATCATCCCCTCCTCCTGTATAGTGGCGCCCATAAGGTGGGAAATCATGGACCAAATACGACAGGCACATGAATCTGATCCGCCACCCACTGACTGCCCACATGACAAGCTTTATGTTCCCCAAGCACTTCGTACCACATTAATCAACTGCGTACATTCTTCACCGAGCTCAGGGCACCCTGGTATTCAGTGCACTTTGAATCTGGTAAGAAGTAAGGTTTGGTGGCCTTTGATGAGTAAAGACATAATGGATTTCATTAATACCTGTGTCATTTGTGCACAAAGCAGGATGCCATGTCAATTTCCCCTGGGGCTGCTGGAGCCCCTCCCCATTCCTCATCATCCATGGTCCCATTTGTCTATTGATTTTATGAAGGACCTCCCTTCATCTCAGGGCCATACAGTCCGATTGACCGATTCTTCATTGGGTGTCGACTCATTCCGTTAAGTAAGTTACCTACTGCCATGGAAACTGCTGAGATATTGTTTTGTGAAGTATTTATGTTTTATGGTCTCCCAGAAGACGTTGTTTTAGACTGGAGTCACCAGTTTACCTCCCATGTCTAATGTTCAAGTGGATAGACTGAACCAGGAAATTGGCAGGTTTCTGCATTCATATTGCAGCAACTCCCAATATGACTGGAGCTGTTATTTACCCTGGGCAGGATATGCACAAAATTTATTAACACATACTGCAAGCCTAACCCCCTTTCAGTGTGTTCTAGGATACCAACGTCCTCTGTTTCCCTGGTCTAGAGAGCCATCTGAAGTTGATGACTGGATAAGAAGGAGTGAGCAAACATGGGAGGAAGCTCATGTTCATCTACAGAGGGCAATAAGGAGACACTCAGAAAATCCAAGCGGACCGCCATCGTAAAGACTGCCCTACATACGAAGTAAGTCAGAGGGCATGGCTGTCCACCAAGGATTTGAAATTGAAATTGCCATGTAACAAACTAAGTCCCAGGAATATAGGGCCTTTTAAGATTGTCAGCAGGATTAATCTTGTTTCTTACTTGCTTCAGTTACCTGACCACTATAGGAACTCTTGGAATCTGCTTTTGCTTTTTGTCACTTTTGCTCTGTCTGCCTGGCTTTTTGTACTGATTCTCTGTTACAACCTTTTTTGCTTTGCCATGAGTTTTGGACTCCCCTACTGTTAATAAACCTGCACATGGATCCTTCACAAATTTCTGAGTCTGCTTCGGCACAACTGACTGACCAGTGACAACTGAGGTATATTCACCACGGGCTTACTACTATGTAAAATTTGCTTGACAATCATAAAAACATATCTATCGGAAACCTACTAGTGTTCATAGCTGACGTTGCAGTGCTGGATGTAGTCGTTGGGGTAATGGTCGGCTTGATGCTGTTCACATCTGACAAATGAACACACTCAGCTTATTAAAACAATCATGGAAGTCTAATCATTAAACAGTGTTAAAAAATATAAGACAAAATTGATAAAACCAGCAGAGTACCTGCACAGTAAGTTGCATTGCAGAAATTTGGCCTGACAAACTCATAGACATAGTAGTTTCCTGGACATGCTTTGACTCGAATTGGAGTGGATCGGTAGTAACAGCAGACACTTCCTGACCTCCCACAGACCCCACGAGTGACTATTCCATCCTCTGTCTGAGGATGAGGACCATTCAGCCACAGAGCAATATCAGTTCCACATCTGTATCGATTAACACAGCTGTCTGGCATACGGATGTTCATCCCATTATACAGCAGCCGATACCAGCCATTCCAGTTGATATTTTTGTCACAGATCAACAGTCCGGTTGCATTAGTGGCTCTCCAGGGTTGATCCAGAGCAGTGTAGTTTTTGCAGGGATCATTAACAGTAGTGGTTACTGAAACTGATAAAATATGCATCAACAGTGAATAAATTTAAAGCTTTTCCATATTGAGGATTTAATACTGTTGAACAAGATCATTATTACTCAGTAAGTATTTAGTGATGAATAACTGCAGACAGTTGACTCATATATGTAATCTTCTTTTGCAACTAACAAACAAATCAGATTCGGTTTACTGTTAATACTCCATGAAACCATTTAGTTTGCACTGTAGTTGAATAAATGTTTTATTAAATTTATATGTGTTTCTACAGACACATTTAGGTTCTGGCAGTAGATTTTTAGATGTGTTCACATTTTTGACATGAGGCAAAAAAACACTTTTCTTTACATATAAAATGTTCAATATATGTGACAATTTAATGTAACTTATAATATTTTGGATCAAAATAACAATTCAAATCATGTCCCACACCTATGATTTCAACCCTTAATTTCTTAAAAATTAGAAGTTAATGAATTAAAAGTTTAAATAAATCTAACACTAAATCACAGTCTAACTCTTAGAAAGAAAAAAAAAAAAGCAGTACCTGCACAGTAAGCTGCATAGAAGAAGGACGGTCTGACAAACTCATAGACGTAATAGTTTCCTGGACATGCTTTGACTCGAACTGGGGTGGATCTGTAGTAACAGCAGTAACTTCCTGAACTCCCACAGACTTTACGAGTGACTATTCCATCCTCTATCTGAGGGTGAGGACCATTCAGCCACAGGGTGTAATATGTACCACATCTGGATTGATTAACACAGCTCTCTGCCATACGGACGCTCTTCCCCTTATACAGCAGCCGATACCAGCCAGTCCAGTTGAAGTTTCTGTCAGAGTTGTACCCTCCAGTCTCATTAGCGCCTCTCCAGGGTTGATCCAGAGATGTGTAGTTATTGCAGGGATCATAACTAGGAGCATCCAATGTAACTGTCAACACAATACATATAATGACAACACAAAATGTCAAATTATCAAACTAATTAAATTAATTAATCAATTAATTATATCCTATTCCTATATGAAACCTTAATCAGTTAATCACTGCTGATTATTCTGTATCATGAGTTGTGGTGACTGTTAAGTGCCAGATATACACCTCATATAGACCTTGTTCTGTTTTCTTCTTTCTTTCTTTCTTTCTTTCTTTCTTTCTTTTTATTTCTTTTCTTGAGCTGATGAAGATCTGTTTTCATCATTGGGTACAACCTCATCCTCCTTCATCCTCCTCTACCCAGTCTGTATCCTGGCTATTTACTTACTTTTTTTTAAAACTGTTTTAAAGATAAGTAAGTGGATAGCCAGTGCCAGCCACCACTTCCCCTCTGGCCCTGTTCCCTACTGCGTGTTATTACTGTAGTAATTTTCATCCACTTATGTGAAACAATCTGTGAGTCTGAAATGTCTGTTACAACTATCATCCTCACCTGTCTAATCCCAGGGAAAGAAATCAGGTAAGAAAATACATCTGAACATTCACATATCAAATTTAAATTTTAGTCACAGTACGTTAGAATGTTATCCCTTGCACTTTGGTTTTGTTTTCAAGTTAGTCTTGTATTGTATGTCTTGTAGTTTTTCGCATTACTATTTTTTTAATGTCAATGAAAAGGTTTCAATGAAGTAAAGATTAGTTCTGCAACTGAGTTTGACTCATTGTCTGTTCATACTTATAAGTCAGTAGTAACTATGGACAATTGAGTCTAAAAAAGGGAGATGGGGATGCAGTTATTTGTCTTCTTGCTCTTGTGGTTCCAGTGGCAATGTCTCACTCTCCCTTTTTTCAGGATAAAGGAGCAGGACACAAAAGAAGCAGGATCCAACTGATATAGACAAGTGCAAGACATAGTGTTGCGATAAATAACTATTATAATAATTATATAATATAATAAAAAAATATTTATATAAGCTCTGATGCTTGACAGTGTGAATACTGGGATTTATGTTAGATGCAACTGGTACATTGTGATCAGATTAAAATGCATTTAATTCAGACCTGATTGCTTAACACCAAAGTTGAACATGTTTCAATATTACAATATTTTTGGGGTGTGGTATTCTTCTACTGCATAGTTTCCCTGTCTTTTCTGAACAGTGATAAGGTAATATATTATGAGCAGAGTTGGGTAGTAACAGAATTTAACTGTAATGTAACAATAATGGTATTCTATTACAGTTACAGTAAAAAATCCAGTAATTAGATTAGAGGTATATAATAAAAATAAGATGATAAGCAGCAAAATTACATTAGTGTACCTATAATCTGTTAAAATCTGTGTATGAAAGTAGTAGCTAAATGTTTTACTTTAGAAATGATAAGAGTAAGACATGACTTAACTGAATTATGATTACACTGAGTTAATGTTTTGGATATTTAAAGACATTAAAAAATATAATTAAATATATAATATAATATACATATTTTTTTTTAATATTATTAAATTCTCTGATGAAGAAACTTTGTTTCTTGATTAAAAGTTTAACAGATGTTTATCAACCAATTTACAATGATTTGCAGCACTTCTTCCCTTAAAATCCAAAGCTGTGTTTCTGATAATTTTGATTTTCTTTGTTTTTATTTATTTTTTTTATGGTGTCTATTTTAACAGCCAACCACAGCCTCATTTTGGAGTGAGTTTTTAACATGTATGATCTCATCTTGATATGTGGATTTTGATTGGCTGTTGCCGAAGACACCAGTGAAAATATCACAGCACTAAAACGACACTAGTGGGCTAATCTCAGCCACAATAACTTTCTGAATAGATCTTATTGCACTGCACTGTTGTCGCTGAATCTTGGGAATCTGGCCCAATATAGGAAACAGCAGACTTTACCTGCACAGTATGTGGGTAATGGAATTGATACAGGTGGCTTGACGAGTCTGTAGACGTAGTAATTTCCTGGGCAGGCTTTGACTTGGATTGGGTTTGATCTGTAGGAATTACATTGACTGGGATCTTTCACAGAGCCATGGTATCCAAAGATTTCTCGGGTGACGATGCCGTTTTTTGGACGTGGATGAGATCCTTTAAGGAAAAGTGCAGTGTATCCACCACAGGTCATGGAACTCCAACACCACTTAAACTCAGGAATCTGAGCATTTTTTCCCTGAAGATACAGACGATACCAGCCGCTCCACTCAAGAAGGGTGTCATCAAAATAACTGAAGTACAAACTGTCTGTTTTTCTCCAGTCATGTTTAAGAATACGGTAGAATATGCAGGGGTTGGACATGGTGTTTTTTGGAGTATTTGCTGTGGAAAGAGAGATGTTAGAATTGAATGTATAGGAACTCTTACTACTACATACCCAGAAGAGAAATGCATATCAAATTTCAAATGCTGACAGCCAAACTATGTAAATAGTTATAATAAAAAGCATAAACACAGATTACAGTTTAATTGTTTTGCTGCTGTAAGATGCAATTTTTGCTTTAATGACTGTTAGGTGACAAATTGGGCAAAACTGTTGGTGTACGTAGACTCACAGTCCTATGCAAAAGTTTGTGTGTCCCAGTCAAATCACATCTCTCTACAGAAAACACACTTCTGCACATTTCTGCACACAATAACTGTTTATTTGCTGAATTGAATTTTTTTGGGAAAAAATATGGCCTGTGCAAAAGTTATGGCAATTTTCATGCCTTTTATTTTTTTGAATATGTTAAAGTAACTAAAAGAAAAAAATCAACAATAATTGAATTTTACCGGGACTGCTAAAACATTTGTTTACAACTGTAATTTGAACATTGTCATATTTGGACAACGCACTGTAAAATAGACATAGTTATATCACAGCCTGGTTATGTAACATTAAGTGTGTTTATTAATCTGATAACTGCAGAATTTTTTTTTTTTTTTCAGTAGTTCATTCAACAGGTCTACATGCCCTTGAGTAATCAGAAAATGGGAAAACTACAGATCTACATTTGTCAGGGAATAATCGGATTTCTGCTTTGCACCCTGCCAAAAAACTCACAGAAGAAGAAGAACGTTAAATAAAATCCACACTTCATGTCACAGTTTTTTTTTTTAAACATGGAATCACTTTACCAGCTAATAAGAATGTAAATCATGTAGACGATGAAGAATATTCAAATTCGCCAAGCATGTAGTTTGGTCTGCATCACTCCAAAAGTGCTTTTGTAGGTGGTAGGTGGAAAATGACTGCTGTCCTACTCTGATCAAATATGTTCAATAGCAAAGCATTCAGTTTTTAGACCCATGTTACATAAGTTCATTTAGAGTTCATTCAAGTTTTTGCTAAAGCTTTGCATTAATGCTGTATTCATAATGCATTACAAAAAATAGACAAATGCAAAACAAAATAACTTGTTATATGACGTAAATAATACTATATAATATCTGGTGTAAGCTTGTATAATAGTTTGTAAGTAGTTATAACTACATGCATAACGATTCATAAAATAACGTCAATAATGCCTTTATATCTATATATAATATCTGTTCATGAGAACATCCCTCTTTGCTTCCTCCCCCGACCCCCAGTATGTCTACTTAAAACATGTCAGACCATGTATTCATCAGACTGGTGACCGGACTGGACTGGTGATAGACTGGACTGGTGACAGACTGATGACCAAGCTGTGCCCGTGCATGATTGTTTGCATGCATGTGAATAAGACTAGACTCCTGATACTGCTGATTGACTGCTGATCGACCACGCTGTACCCATACTCTGAATGCGGATATAAATTCCAGTCAACGCCAAAGCTCCAGTCTCCTGACTCTTCCTGCTGAATTTCTAACAGAGGCTATAACAATCACAGCAGACCCAGGTGCACTCCCAGATAAACATGTGTACAATCATGTGTATAATCTATTTCCAACGAAAAACAATTAGTTTTTAAAAAACTTTTACATGTAGTGTGAAATTGATTGTTTTTAGCTAACTGGAAACTGTAATGCTACGCTAGCTGGCTACACTGACTGTCAGCTGTTACACACTAATCTGATGCTTAGTGTGTAAGACAAACACGTAAGTGGTGTGAAGTGTGCAGGGAAATTCCCCACATTAGACATTTTGCACATGATTATCTCACTTCACTCAAAGCATGTAAAAAGCACTTATAAGTGTTGTCATGTTGTATAGCAATAACAGATAACAAAGAAAGAGGTGAGAGGTAAAAATGAATACATCATGTTGCTGAAATGTATTTTCCCACTTCTAGTGGACTGACTGACCAGTGACAACAGAGGTGTATTCACCATTGGCCTAATAATGTACAAAACAGGCATAAAAATCATATAAATATATCTATTGGAAACCTACTAGTGTTTATAGCTGACAGTGCAGTGCTGGATGTAGTCACTGGGGCGATGGTCGGAGTGATGGTGTTTATATCTGATGAAAAAACATATTCAACTTATTAAAACAATCATGAAAGCATAATAATAATTAAACATTCTTAAAAAAATACAAGGCGAAATTGATAAAACCAGCAGAGTACCTGCACAGTAAGCTGCAGTGCAGAAGTATGGCCTGACAAACTCATAGACATAGTAGTTTCCTGGACATGCTTTGACTCGAATTGGGATGAATCTGTAGTAACAGCAGTCAGTTCCTGAATTCCCACAGACCCCACGAGTGACAATTCCATTCTTCATTTGAGGATGTGATCCATTCAGCCACAGAGTGATATCAGTACCACATCTGGACTGATTAACATAGCTGTCTGGCATACGGACACTCATGCCATAATACAGCAGCCGATACCAGCCGTTCCAGTTGAAGTAGTTGTCACAGATGTTCAGTCCGGTTGTATTAGTAGCTCTCCAGGGTTGATCCAGAGGAGTGTACTTGTTGCAGGGATCATTCGATGTAGTTGTTACTGAAACCAATAAAAATGCATCAGCAATGAATCAATACAAAGTTTTTCCACACGCTTGATGCAGTTCTGTTGAGCTGCACAAGATCATCACTACTCAATCAGTATTTAGAGATGAATAACTGCAGACCTTTGAATCATACACCTGATGTGTTTTTGCAACTAACAAACAAATGAGACTGTTATACCTTGTTTTTGTCTGCTTTGCAGTTGAATAAATGTTTTATTAAATTTAGGGGTGTTTCTACAAAACAGACACCTTTATATCCTGGCTGTAGATTTTTAGATGTGTTCACATTTTTAAGATGATGCATGAAAACACATTTTTATGTACCAAATTATTGCTATATGTAATGAGTTAGTGTAACTTTCTAAGCATATTTTGGACCAAAATATCAGTTCTATTCATGTCCCACACTTACAATTCCAAGCTTTGATCACATACAAAGATGGAAATAGGTTACAAAATTCAGTAACACTTTACAATACAGTTCATTAGTAACCTATTAACTATGCATTAATAAATCATGAACTGTTATCATAATTATCTGTAATGAATAATGCATGATGCTTCAATACAAATGAATGAACATGAGAAGGAATCACTAGTTTTTGTAGAAGTTAAAATATGAGGAAGATTTACAGAATGAAATGGTAGAATCTTAATTTTGACGTGCAAATTGAATTTGAATAAATAGGACTAAAATGGTTGGCCATTGTAATTAGAATTTTAAAATGTCAATTTAATATTTAATTGTAATAATGCACATGTTAAACTGTATATCATGTTAATAGAACATTCATTGCAATAATAATGAACTGGAAAAATGCTAAAATTCTTACCAATGAAAATTTAAGTCTTACATGCTAAAATATATTTGCTACGTTAAAAAGATAAATTTTAAAATTTGATAAATTTTGGGGACTTTTTTCCAGTTTCAATAAAATTATCTGATAAAGAAAGTTTGTTTCTTTAGTAAAAGGTTAAAGCATCTTTATCAAACAATTCCTTAAAAAGAGTTTTTCTTGGAGTGAGTGTTTTATATGTATGGCCTTATTTTGATATGCTGATATTGACTTACTGAAGACACCAGCGAAAATACCAAAGCACTAAAAAGACACTAGTGCGCTAAAACACAGCCACGATGACTTTCTGAATAGATCTTATTTTCCAGCGTTGTTTCCACCAAAGTTAAAGAAACAGGCCTTATACAGGAAACAGTAGACTTTACCTGCACAGTATGTGGGTAATGGAATTGATACAGGTGGCTTGACGAGTCTGTAGACATAGTAATTTCCTGGGCAGGCTTTGACTTGGATTGAGTTTGATCTGTAAGAATTACATTGACTGAGATCATTCACAGAGCCATGGTATCCATAGATTTCTCGGGTAACAATGCCGTCTTCTGGACGTGGATGAGATCCTTTAAGGAAAAGTGCAGTGTAACCACCACAGGTCATAGAACTCCAACACCAATCAAATTCAGGAATCTGAGCACTTTTTCCCTGAAGATACAGGCGATACCAGCCATTCCATTCAACAAGACTGTCATCAAAATAACTGAAGTTCAAACTAAAATCCAATCTGTCCATTTTTCTCCAGTCATGTTTCAGATCACTGTAGACACTGCAGGGGTCAGATGTGTTGTTTTTCGGAGAACCTACTGTGGAAAAAGAGTCGTTAGAATCAAATGTACATCTATGAGGAACTTCTACAACATACCCAGAGAAAAACTGCAGATCAACATTCAAATACTGACAGTCAAAATATGTTTATAAATAGTTATAATAAAAAGCTTAAGCATCAGTATTTATGTTATGCTGCTGTATGATGCAATTTAGTTTGTTTTAATGACTGTTAGGTGACACACTGGGTAAAAGTCTTGGTGTATGTAGACTAAAAGTCATACGCAAAATTTTGTGTCCCAGTCTTTACCAGCTAATAAAGATATAAATCTTGTAGAAGATGAAGCATAGTTTGGTCAGCATCACTCCAAAGGTGCTTTTCTTAAAATCAATTAACAGCCTCTATATGATCTAAGACATCAGAATATGCTGTTTATATGAACACTTGAATAATCAGATGACTGCTGAAATCTGATAATAATCACATTACTGTTGAATTATTAAGACACAGTATTTATTTAAATGTACAACGTTTTTTAGTTTTACTCAGTATCCATTTATCTGTCTTACTTATTTTGATATTGTTTTTGGTTGTTTCAAGTTCACATTGCAATCAGGTAAGAACATTAACAGTAGGTAGAAAATGGCTGCTGTCCTACTCAAATGTGATAAATACCAAACTAGATTTTCTACTAATCCTGTATTCATAATGCGCTATAAATCTATTCATAACTTCTTATATGACGTACATAATACTTAATGCCTGATATAAGTTTGTATAATTGTTTATAAGTAGTTATAGTTACATGCATAACAATTTATAAAATAAGAGTATACAACTGTACAATGTCGGGTTTCATAATGCATTATAATATCGGTTCATGAGAACATTGTAAGCATTAATGTTATAATGTGCTATAACAAAACAGAATTATGGTATATTATCTGCATCACAGCAGACCCAGGTGCTCTTCCAGGTAAATGTGTATAATCATTTTGGCCCCCGACAAAATATAATTGGTTTTAGAAAAAAAAGCAAAACTCGTACATGTAATGTGAGTTTGACAGTTTATTTGGTAACACTTTCTATGAATGTCGCATTTGTAAGCATCTATAAACACATTTATCACATGTTAATATGTATTCATAAGGCATTATAAATGTGGTTAAAAATATTTACAAAAAAGAATTACACTGAATTACACTTTATAGCTATGTTTATTATACATTATGAATTGTTAATATAATGCATTTTAAATAGTGTTAATAACATGTTAGTGGCAAATAATAATTATGTCAGTGGCAAAGAAGTCAGTCCCACATTGGGTAAAACACTGATGGCAGCACTAGTTTAAACTCTGACATTTGTAGCCTGTAATGAGCTTTATTGTGTATGTTTTAGTGTTTCAGTAAATCCTTCAGTAAATACTTCAACTTGAAGCCTCACTCTGAACACTGGAGGAGGCTTTAGTACAGTACGCTTCACTTTACTTAGAGTGGACAAATACGACTTATGAGCTCTTATAATTTGTTATGATCAGTACTTATAATGTATTATATTAATTCATAATGTATAATAAACATGGCTATAATGTATAATGCATTTTTATAAATATTTATAGCTATGTTTATAATGTGTTATGAATGCATTATAACATGTTATGAATGTGTTTATAGATGCTTACAAAGGTGACATTCATAGAAAGTGTTACCGTTTATTTTATGTATGTGATTATCTTTGAAATGATTATCTGCTGAAATGTATTTTCCCACTACTACTGGACTGACTGACCAGTTACAACTGAGGTGTATTAACCATTGGCCTAATACTGTACAAAATTGGCAAAACAATTATATAAAGATATATAAAGGAAACCTAATAGTGTTTATACTTGACAATGCAGTGCTGGATGTAGTCATTGGGGTGATGGTCAGCTTGATGGTGGTCACATCTGATGAATAAATAAACACATTAAACATATTAAACTTATTAAAACAATCATAGGAGCCTTATAATCATTACATATTCTTAAAAAAATGCAAGACAAAATTGATAAAACCAACAGAGTACCTGCACAGTAAGTTGCATTGCAGAAATCTGGTCTGACAAACTCATAGACATAGTAGTTTCCTGGACATGCTTTGACTCGAATTGGGGTGGATCTGTAGTAACAGCAGACACTTCCTGACTTCCCACAGACTCCACGAGTGACTATTCCATCCTTTATCTGAGGGTGAGATCCATTCAGCCACAGAGTGATATCACTACCACATCTGGACGGATTAACACAGCTCTCTGGCATACGGACACTCATCCCGTTATACAGCAGCCGATACCAGCCATTCCAGTTGATGTTTTTGTCACAGATCTTCAGTCTAGTTGCATTAGTAGCTCTCCAGGGTTGATCCAGAGCAGTGTAGTTATTGCAGGGATCATTAACAGTGGCTTTAACTGAAACTGATAAAATATGCATCTACAGTAAATAAATTTCAAGTTTTTCCATATTGGTGATTCAATACTGTTGAACAAGATCATTATTACTCAACAAGTATTTAGTGATGAATAACTGCAGACAGTTGACTCGTACATCTGATCTGCTTTTGCAGCTAATAAACAAATCAGATTCTGTTTACTGTGATTTCACCATTAAACCATTTAGTTTGCATTGTAGTTGAAAAATGTTTCATTAAATTTATACTTGTTCTTACAACTACAGACACTTTTAGGTTCTGGCAGTAGATTTTTAGATGATTTTAACATGAGGCATAAAAACAATTTTACATATAAAAATTTTATAATGTGTGACAATTTAATGTAACTTACAATATTTTGGATCAAAATAACAGTTTAACTCATGTGCCACATCTATGATTTCAATCTTTAACTTTTTATAAAAAGACGTTAATGAATTATAAATTTAAATAAAACTAAGATTAAGTACTATATTATAGGGACCTTAAGGAGAATCTTTAGTAGTGGCCTGTGATAAAAAGCACAGCCAGACATTCAAAAAAATGTCTGACAGTGCCCTGTTTATGATAAAGAGCGCGGATGGACATTAAAGAGAATCTCACAGCATAGTGTGCACACACTGAACAAACAAATTTTACTACTCCATTTAAGCACATATTCCACTGCTATCAAAATAAGAGCTCTTAATATTGTATACTTTTTTATTTTCGTATTTCATACTCCAGCTACCACTGTCCACAGTTGCTTAACCTAGGCTACAAGCTCGAAAAGGTGAGACTCTTGTTTAAGCTGTGAGATTCAACCGATCAAGTTGTGCAACAAGCCAAGGCATCAGTCCAAATAGGGTGCAAATGGAGGGCTGTTGACCAAGCTATTAGCCACATACAACATCAGGTGATAGTTG